AGCCTTTCTGGCCCAGGGCCAGGCTTTCTGCTTCCAGCGGAGCACCCCAGCAGATGCTCATTCCACCCTCACCTCCGTTCTTTTTTTTTTTTTTTTGAGACGATCTCACTTTATCACCCAGGCTGGAAAATGCAGTAGGGCAATCACGGCTCACGGTAGCCTCGACCTCCTGGGCTCAAGTCATCCTCCCAACTCAGCCTCCTGAGTAGCTGGGATTACCAGCATGCACCACCACACCCAGATACTTTTTTTCATATTTTTTGTGGTCCCACTATATTGCCTAGGCTGGTCTTGAACTCCTGGGCTTAAGTGATCCTCCTACTTCAGCTACCCAAAGTGCTGAGATTATAGGCATGAGCCACCGTGCCCAACCTGTTCAAGCTTTGGAAGGTGTGGAGGCTGGGGAGCAGGGCTGGAAGAGGGTAACGATAGCCTCAGTGCAGCCAGAGGATGTCAGGGATGATGCTCCTTCACTTAGTCCACCTCATGCCCTTACTGCATTGGCAGGGATAGGGAGGCCCAGAGAGGGTCAGGGGCTCCATAGACACACAGCAGACATTGGGCATGGCCAAGCACAGCTCCTGCCTCTGGATCTGCCAGTCTCCTGTGGAGAAAGGCCCATGGTGGTGGCAGGAGAGAGGGGGAGAAGCAGCATTTCCGAGGCTCGAGGCAAAAACAGGCCCTGAGGCCAACTGTGCAGCTCTGCTATGAGCTCCAGGCCTGTCTTTACAGATGCTCCCTGCCCCAGCTGCCATGGCTTGGTGCCTCAAGGGGCTTCAGCACCTCCCGAGCACCCCATGCCCCATTGAGAGCAAGCCCTAGAAGCTGGGAGGCCCCTGCCCGCCAACACTTTGGATGACAACTAACACCTTAGGTGATAGTTACCACTTGCACTAACAAGTTGGGAGAGCAATTTCTGCCCAAGTGGCAAGGGGGTGGGGTGGCCTTTTGGGGGATAGGGCAGTGGAAAGGGAGCATGCCAGCTGACTTTCCTGACATGAGGGTGTCTGGGTCTTCAGAGGGTGCAGTTGCAGTCACAGTGATCAGGGTGTCAGGTTTCGGACCTACTCTGGCATTGGTGTGTGACACTAAGGCAGGCCCCTGTCCTTCTGGTCTGTGCTCTTGCCTGCAGTAGTGTACAGATGTGGGGAGCCCCTTCTCAGAACGTAGCTGACTGGGGTTCTTGCCTGCCCCAAACCCTCTCAGAACTCCTTGTTGCCCCTACATCAGGGATTGGCCTCTCTGCCGGGCATTCTCAGCCTTGCACAATCTCTGCTACCTTCTTTATCCAGTCCCACCTCCCTCTATGCCCACATCTTCAGGTCTCCCGAGCTGCAGCCACAGTGCCCAGGTCAGGCCTCCACTCACCCTGCTGTGATGCCCCCTTGCCCATCCTCTTCCCGGAGAACTTGTGCAAAGAGCTCCATCCATCCCACATCCAGGAGAATCCAATTCACATTTTCACACAGACACTTCTCTGCCTGACCTGGTTCTCCGTTTTGGACCATTGGATCATGAATTTGGATTGGGTCTTAGTTCTCTCAATGATCCCAGAATCTAGCATTGACATGGAGTCAAAAATGCTTAATATTAATATTTATTAATACATAAATGTTTTGTTTATGAATGAATGGGCAAAAGAATGGTGAGAAGATGGATGGATGAATGGCAGGGATAGGTGGTGGTGAGATGAAGTGAGAACGGTGGACTGATGTTTATGTATATAGATAATATAAGAATGTAACTTAAGGGTAATAGATGAACACATGGATGAGTTAATTATTAGGTGACTGACTGACTGGTGGGGGACGAATAACTGTCTGGGTGAGTGATAGTGGAAGAATGATGGACGTAATGATGGAATGAGTATGTGGTGGGTAGAAGAATGTATGGATAATGATTGGATGGGCACTGGAAGCATGGTAGAGGGTGATCCTAGATGGTGGATGGATATAATATGATGGATGGTAGATGCATCTATGTAGTTGGTGACTGATTAAGTGATGAAGAATAGATAAATACACTGTAGATTGATAGATGGAAAATGGATGGACATGGATGCTGAATTGATGGATTGATGGATACCACATGAATCCATACATAGTGGATATAAACTGCAGGCAATAAGTATTAATAGTAGATGGTGGATGCTTAGTGGGTAGATACATCATGGAAGTGTGGGTGGATGGTGGATAAATAGAGGTGGATGATTGTGATGGATCTATCCACAGAGAATGGATGGGCAGATGGGACAGAAATACCAATGAGTATATGACTGATGGATGGATCATGAGTGGCGGACAAGTAAATGGTGGCTGCCTGGTGCATGAATGATTGCTAGCTGGATGAATAATGGGTTGTGTGCTGTGGAGGTATAGATAGATGGATGTGGATAGATAACAACTGGATGGAATCTGGATGATGAATGATGAATGGATGTTGAACGGATGGATGAAGGTTAAACAGCAGATGGCTACAACTTGGAAATGTGATGCATGAAAGGTGAATGTGGGTGGGTAGATGGAGAGGTGGTAAATGGATGCTTTAATGTATAGATGGAGGAAGATGGATACATAGCAAGTGGACAGTCAATGGATGTTGAATGAAGATGAATACTGAATGGAGAGTGAATAATGAATGTGGGATGGTGCATGAATACTGACCAGATGGATGGTGAGTGGATTGTAATGGTGGATGGATAATGGCAAATAAATGCTCACTGCTGTCTCTCTACTCTGTCCTCAGCACCTCAGAACAATGTTTGGCACATAGAAGGCAGCCAATATTTTTTTTCTAGAATGGGTGAATATGAATGGATGCTAAATGGTATTTGGATGGATTTTGGATGAATAGTGAATTTTGGCTGGATGACGGGTGGATAGATAGAGAATGTTGTGAGATGGACAATGAATGAATAGGTATGTGGTGGATGTGGATAAGAGATGGTGATGGTAGTCTGGGTGTGGTGGCTCATGCCTATAATCCCAGCACTTTGGGAAGCCATGGATGGTGGATCACCTGAGGTCAGTAGATAGAGACCAGCCTGACCAACATGGTGAAACCCTGTCTCTACTAAAAATACAAAAATTAGCTGGGTGTGGTAGCAGCCACCTATAATCTCAGTTACTTAGGAGGCTGAGGTAGGAGAACTGCTTGAACCCAGAGGCAAAGTTTGCAGTGAGCTGAGACTGCGCCATTGCAATCCAGCCTGGGTGACAGAGCGAGACTCTGCCTCAAACAAACAAACACCAAAAAACAGATGGTGATGGTAGATGGTTGGTGGATGGATACAGGAATACAGTTCATAGAAATATGAATGGATAGCAAATGGTGAAAGACTGGTGGCTGAATTGTAGATGGATGAATGGTAGCTGATTTGATGGAGGTTAATGGGATAAATGAATAGTAAATAGATTGATGATTCACAATTAGATATGTGGATGGAGATGTGAATGGTAGATGGATGTGTTAAATATCTGATGGAAAGCTGTTACACAGTGAGTGATGGATGGATAGGTGGTGGATGGATGGTTGGTGAATGAATGTTGGATTGATGGGTATTTAGTGGTGTACTGATGCTTGGTAAATGATGGGTGCTGGTGGTGAATGGATGGGTGCATGATGGATGGGCAGTGATTGGATAGAGAATGGTGACTGGAGATGGATGGTTAATGGACATTGGATACCAGATGGTGGTTGAATGGTGGATTGTGAATGGATGGCTGGTGGTTGCATGAGGGAAGGTAGATGGTAGATTGTGGATGGGATGGATGTTGGGTTATCGAAGGCAGATGGTGAACTGTGGATGGGATGGATGTTGGATTATTGAAGGCACATGGTGGGCTGTGGATGGGATGGATGTCGGGTTATCGAAGGTAGATGGTGGACTGTGGACGGGATGGATGTTGGGTTATTGAAGGCACATAGTGGACTGTGGACGGGATGGATGTTGGGTTATTGATGATAGATGGTGGACTGTGGATATGATGGATGTTGTGTTATTGATGGTAGATGGTGGACTGTGGACAGGATGGATATTGGGTTATTGATGATAGATGGTGGATTGTGGATGGGATGATGGGATGGATGTTGGGTTATTGAAGGCAGATGGTGGACTGCGGATGGGATGAATGTTGGGTTATTGAAGGTAGATGGTGAATTGTGGACGGGGTGGATATTGGGTTATTGATGGTAGATGGTGGACTGTGGGCGAGAAGGATGTTGGGTTACTGATGGTGGATGATGGATGGCAGATGGTGGGTCTCAGATGGTGGCAGGATGGCAAAAGATAGATGAATAGCTGTGAATGGTAGATAGACAGTGGCTGGACTGTAGATATTGAATGGAAGTGGGATGTTAGATAATTGATGGTGGAGGTTCCTGGTTGCAGGCTGGGAATTACATGGACCAGAGATTATGCACCTTGGCTTTAGGTGTCAGGTCTGTGCACTGGACTGAACCAGACAGCTTGTCCCAGGGCTGTTTTGCTCCTTTTTGGGAATGGAACTGGAAGTGAAGATGAGAGGGGGGTTGCGGGGTGATCCCCCCCTTCCTGCAGCCCATCCCAGTTTTTTTTTTTTTTTTTTTTTTTAAGACGGAATCTCGGTCTGTCACCCAGGCTGGAATGCAGTGGCTCCATCCTGGCTCACTGCAACCTCCGCCTCCCGGGTTCAAGCGATTCTCCTACCTCAGCCTCCAGAGTAGCTGGGACTACAGGCATCTGCCACCGCGCCTGACTAATTTTTCTTTTTTGTGTATTTTTAGTAGACACGGGATTTCACCATATTGGTCAGGCTAATCTCGAACTCCTGACCTCAGGTCATCTGCCTGCCTCGGCCTCCCAAAGTGCTAGGATTAACAGGCGTGAGCCACTGTGCCCGGCAGTTGCTTTTTTTTTTTTTTTTTTTTTTTGGCCTTTTTACTCCTCTCTTATTCCCCAACAGGAGGGAGTCCTCTTTCCATGTATCTGGCCCCACCGAATTCTGCACCTCAAATTTCTGGACGCCAATCTTGAGGCTCAGTCTCAAGTGGCCGGGGGCAGGTCCTTGGGGAGGAGTCGACTTAAGGGAAGATGAGGCCGGGCCCTATCGGGGGGCTGGAGCTGGGAGGGCGGAGGCGCCGAGGGCGGGCGGCCAGACCCGTGGAAGGCCAGTGCGAGGGAGGCCGGGAGAGCGCGCGTGGGCGGGGAGCGCGGAGAGGAGGGCGAGCCGGGCGAGCGCGGAGCCAGCAGAGCGCGGAGGCCCCAGCGCCAGCACCCGCGCGGGCGGTGAGTATGAGTGTGAGTGTGGCGCAGGGTCGCCCCGTCCCCAGCCTGGCCCCGGCAGTGCGGGTCCCAGGCGCGCCCTGACGGCCAGGTGCGGAGTGGTTGGGAGAGGGAGGAGCATGGGGGGATTTGGGGAGTTCTGAGTCCAGTTCCCTGGGGAAGGGGACAGCGTGGGTTCGCAGGGTCAGCCCGGCTGTGGGACGCCATGCCTCCACGCGCTTTTGCCCCCGGGGCTGTGCCCGGCAAGACCTGGGATCCCGCGGCGCTGGGGGTGGTGGGCGCCCTCTATGTGTGGTGCCCCAGCTGGCACTGGACCCTGGCGCTGGGCAGGGCAAGGCAGCCCTTGGGCACTTGTTTCCTGATTGCCTGCTCCCTCCCCACCCGCCCCCACCTGCCCCCACCTGGCTCAAGCAGACAGCTCTATCATCTGCCTCTGTCATTCTCTCTCTCTGGGCCAAGTGTCATCTGCGGGTCTGTTTCTGTCTCTCTCTCTCTTCTCCTCTGTCTCCAGCTCAGTCACCTCTCGCCTGGTCTCTGTGGCAATATTTTTCTTGCCTCTCCCTCTGCCTCCTTCCCAAGTCTGGCTGGGTCTCTGTCCTGGCTGCCCTGGGTTCTGGGGTCCTGGGATGGGATCCAGGAGAGGCTTGATGGAGGGCTGGACCTAGGGGCACTGAGACATCCCTGGGCTCTGGGGTTGGGCAGAGGAACCAGAGGGTGCGGCTTCGCTGCCCCGAGAGGCCTCCTGCACTGTGTGCCCTCCTAGCCCTCCCTGGGCCCTCGGTGGGACCCCAGCTGACCTGAGTGGGGTGTTTGGTGAAAGAAACCTCATTTCTCAGAATAGCAGCCCTCTGCTTTGCTGGCAGCCACAGGACCACCCTCACCCACCCCAGCAGGACGTCACAGGTATTCCATCCTGCTGGTCTCTGTTCTCCTACTGCCCCGTCCCCTTCCTGCAGGGCTGCCCCTGCCCATAGCCCTCTGCTGCCTGCATGCCAGCCACTGCCTGACCCAACCCCCATTTCTGCCTCTGACCTGGGTGTGGCCCCAAGAACCCACACGGCAGGTGAAGGGTCTGGCTGGTGCCGACTCCTGGCAGGGGCTCTCTTCCCAGAACCCTTGCTGCCAGGGCTCCAGCGGGGCTCCCTCTGCTGTGGCCAGCCTGAGTGGGCATGGCCAAGTGCAGGCAGGATGTCAGTTTCCCTTGGGCTGTGGGTGCTGAGGGCCTGGCCCCGGGGTGTGCAGGGTGCGTGTTCTCAAGGAGGAAATGGGCACCTTGGTCTCTGGCTGACTTGAACCCAGTCCCTACTACTACCAGCCTCCTGTCTCAGAAACCCATTTAGGTCCCTTGGACGCTCTGTGTCCTTCCTGAACTGTTCCTGTCTCAGAATGCGCTTCTGTCCTCCCAGCTGGCCTGGCTACCTCCTGCTCATCCCTCAGGCCTCAGATCAGCGGACTTCTTCCAGGAAGCCTTTCCAGGTCTCCCCTCCTGCCTGTGCCCTCTTGCAGGCACACTATGCGGCCAGGGTCCAGTGCCCCCTCTGGCAGCGGGCTCAGGCAGGGAGCAGTGCAATACAGGTCCAGCTGGAGCCACGGGCACTGGGCCTGGGCTGGGGTGGAGTGGGGTGGGCTCAGTGCCTGAAGCCTTCGGGGGAGGGTAGATCCAGCATCAGGCCAACAGCAGACACCCCATTTCTGCTCCCAGTCCTAGTGCAGCTTAGTGGCGCAGTGGCAGCAGCAGCATGAGCACCCCCCGGCCTGCTTCACCACAGCCAGGCACTGCTGAGGGGGCTGGAGGCCCAGCAGGGAAGGTACGTGCTTGGAACTCTGGGGGTTCGGGAGGGAGCAAGTCTCAAACTCTGTCCCATGACTTGGGGCATGCCCTGCCTTGCTGCTGGCCTCAGTTTACCCATCTGGGTGGGGGAGATCATTGCTCATTTATTTTTTTATTTATATTTGACATGGAGTCTTGCTCTATCACCCAGGCTGGAGTGTAATGGCGCGATCTTGGCTCACTGCAGCCTCCACCTCTGGGGTTCAAGCAATTCTCCTGCCTCAGCCTCTGGAGTAGCTAGGATTACAGGTGCCCACCACTATACCCGGTTACTTTTGTATTTTTAGTAGAGACGGGGTTTTGCTGTGTTGGCCAGGAGGGTCTTGAACTCCTGACCTCAGGTGATCCACCTGCCTTGGCCTCCCAAAGTGCTGGGATTACAGGCGTGAGCCACTGTGCCCAGCTCGTTGCTCTTTTATAAAAATATAAAGGATAAAACAATTGAAGGCCAGCATTCCTTGCTTACTGAGCACCCCTTCCTGACCTGAGAACCCCAGGGATTGTCCCCCAAGGCGCGCTTTGCTCTCTGCTGGGTGAGGAAATGCCAGGGTTCCCTGCCCCTAGCGTCACATTTCGGTGGGGGATGGGGTGGTGCTGATGAAACTTAAAAAAACCAAGCTCCCTATACAGGGTTGCAGCCTTAGTATTCTGAGTGCTAGAGCCCAGCTAGAGCCCAGCCGTTCTCCTTGTCAGGGAGCGGTGGGGCCAGAGAGGGGAACCAGCCTGGAGTGACATAGGGACCAGTCTGGAACTTGGGGTTGCAGACACAACCTCCCAGGCAGGGTGGACAGAGGTGAGCACCAGGCCTCAGAGCTGCAAACACTGCTGGCCTGGACCTCGTTCACCCCAGTGGGCAGACTTGGAGAGGAGTGCCCTTGGTTGGGGGCAGGAAGGAGAATGGCACATGGGGAGGGAGAGCAGGCTGGGGAATGAGCCCCTGGACTGGTAATGCCAGCATGAGGGTGGCCCCCGGGAGGGTCCAGCCTTTGGGGTAGGGATGGGGTCCCTGCTCTGCTGTCCTTTGACAACTCCTTCATTCCACAGACATCTCAGTCCAGTGACACCTGTTCTCACACTTGAGGGTCGCCTGTGGTCCTTGGTTAAAAGAGAGTCTGGGCTGGAGCTCAGGAATGTGTACTGTTCAGGGATCTTGCCGCAGTGGCTGAGGGCCGTTCAGCTAAGTCCCCCCTGCTGCGTGGCTGTCCTTCCTCGAGGCCCTTGTGCCCTTTTGGGAAGGTGGACCCAGCAGCTGCCCTTCTAGGTGAAGAGAAGGGAGACAGGGAGCTCCAGGCAGGAGCATCTACCTGAGCACAGGCGTGGGGGTGGGACAGGGCAGGCAAGTCAGGGCCACTGGGGTGCGGAGGCACAGAGTTCTGCACGTAGCACTGCAGCCTCAAAGGCCTTGAATGGGAGGTGGAGATGCTGAGGGCACCGGGAAGGCCTGGGGATGCAGCCCCCGCACACTCCTGTGAGCACTGAACAATGAACCAAGAGCGAGCCCAGAGCCAGCCGCTTGGGTTGCCATGGCAACTGCTTCCCAGCTCCTCTGAGCCTGGAGGAGGCCAAGGGCCCAGCAGGGAAGACCCCAGGAAGGGGCTGGCAGGAATCCGGGTGCAGGAGGCAGCTGGGGGTGCGCAGAAGCCTGGGCTCATTCCTGGTGACCTTGGCCTCTCTGGCCTCTGGCTCTGGCTGTGCAGTGGGCTCCTGGAGCTGAGCACAGCTGCATCCTGTGGTGCCTCCTGAGAGCTGTGACCCCAAGAGCTGAGCACCCTACCCCCAGGGTTGGGACCTGGTAGGGCCTGGGACCTGTCTCAGGGATGTTCTTGTGCAAACACACATGTGCCCATCCTTGCCCTAGGGACTGGGTGGGAAGGGTCTCTGATCCCCCTAGTGGGGCAGTGTGCGGGACGGGGGTAGGAGGGAACAGGAGTACCAGGCCGGGCATGGCCGTGCTTCTGCCCATCCTCCCTGCAGGCTGTGGCGGGTGCCCGGGAGAAGGGCCCTCGACTGGGCCAGCGGCTGCCCTCAATCGTGGTGGAGCCCAGTGAGGCGGACCCTGTGGAGAGCGGGGAGCTGCGCTGGCCCCTGGAGAGTGCCCAGAGGGGCCCCTCTCAGAGCCAGGCTGCTGCTGGTAAGTGAGGGCACCTGTGGGGGTGTTGAGAGGAGGAAGTGGCCACTGCCAGGGTCAGAAGCAGGGCATGCTTCCTGCGGCTCTGGCAGACAAGGCCTTCCTGCCTCCTGCCTGTTCACACTCCATCCTCTGCCCGCCTTGGAGCCTCTGCCTGGGGCTCTAGGTGCTGCCTGGCCTTGACCCCCCTCCCTAGCACCGTCCTCCCTCCCACCAGCAAGTGAGGTCCCTCATCCACTCTCAGTCGCAGGCCTGGGCACGGGAGGTGCACGTTGCATACTTGTTGAATGAGTGATGCCACATTCTCGCCCCTCATCATCCAGTGCTTGCTCGTTGTCATCACCTTTGGAGCAAGTGTGCCTTGCTCACTAGGGCCTGGGAGGCTGTGAGGGTGCAGGTGTACGTGGTGGGGGATGGGCTGGCCTGTTGGCAGGCTCTATCCTGCTGCAGGTGCCCTGCTTAAAGGCTGAAAGCAGGCCAGGCGCAGTGGCTCATGCCTGTAATCCCAGCACTTTGGGAGGCTGAGGCAGGCGGATCACTTGCAGTCAGGAGTTCGAGACCAGCCTGGCCAACATGGTGAAACCCCGTCTCTACTAAAAATATAAAAATTAGCCAGGCATGGTGGTGGGCGCCTGTAATCCCAGCTACTCAGGAGGCTGAGGCAGGAGAATCGCTTGAACCCTGGAGGCGGAGGTTGCAGTGAGCTGAGATCACGCCACTGTACTCCAGCCTGGGCGATAGAGTGACTCCGTCTCAAAAATAAATAAGTAAAGGCTGAAACTTCGGGAGAATTGTGTGAGCAGAAGGGGGCAGCCGGGGCCAGGCCAGGCAGGAGAGGCAGCAGGCTGGGCCATGGGGACCTTGTGGACGGCTCTGAGGGCCACTGCAGACTGAGCAAGGGGCATGAGCTGTGCCCTGGGAGATGTTGTCCCCTGGAGACCCCTGGGAGTCCCTGAGGAGGAAGTGAATTCGGCCACAGCTGGCGCTGCTCAGCACCTTGTCTGCCCTCTCCCATCCCCAGACCTCAGCCTGTACTGGCCAGGAAACCCCCTTTTCAGTGTGGCCAGAAGAGGTTATCTGTCTGGACCCATAACCCCCACCTCTGCCCAAAGCCCCCTCGACCTCTTGTCAGTTTCTGCCCAGGGCCCAAGACAGCATCAGGGACCACCCCTTGGGTAAACCCTGGGACTTGGGCTCTGGGGAGGTCCTTGAGTCTGCCCTGGACTTCCCTTCCCTCTGCCACCCCTTCATCTGGTGGATGTGGGAGCTGCCCCTGCTTGCAGAGCCCAGCCTCATTCTGCCTCCCTGGCCAAGCACCCCTCCTGCTTCTCATCACCCAAGGGGACCTCCTGGCCTGCCCCAGCCCAGTTGCCTGCCAGAGGCTCATTTCAGGCCCCTGGGATCCTCTCAGGCTGCAGTACCCCCCACAACCAACACGGCCGCCTTTATGTTTCTGCAGCCTCCTCCCCGAGTCTGCCTGGAGAACCAGGGAAAGCTGCAGATGCTGCTGGCAGAGAGTGTGCCTGCTCTGAGGACCCAGCAGCCCCGGCCCGGGGATAGGACAAGGATGTGGCTGGGCTCTGCTGTCTGACTGCTGAGGGCTTCTGCCCCAGGGTGGCCAGGCTGGTGCACAGGAGGGCCGGGCCTGCCTAGCCGGGAGAGTCCAGAGGCTGCTTCCTGTCTCACCAGGCCTGACCAGCACTGCAGCCCTGCCCTCTTCTGCCCATGGCCCAGGTCTGGATCACACCCCGCTTTGTTCCGTGGTTTGAAGCAGAAATAAAGGCACTTCCTGGTGGCCAGCAGGCACACTTGATGGGGATGCAAGAGACTGAGGACAGTTTGGGTTCTGCCTGTAGCCTTCCAGGTGAGGGCCTCAGCTCCAAGCCCAGGCTGGTCAGTCCAGAGCACCTCTTAGGTGACCACTTGCACATGGCACTGGGGCAGGCTGGGCAGGGCTGAGTTGGCTCTGTGGCTGGTGCCTCTGCCCAGGGACCCTCTCTCTGCTTCGGCCAAGGCTGCCCAAGGCAGAACCAGCCTCCTCCAGGCGGCCTCCCAACCCTCCGTGGGACCTCCTTGGGGCCAGGGCTGGACCTGGGTGCAGGAAAGCACAGCCGTGGCACCTGGGGTGGGCCGCACCATTCCAGGTTGGATCTCGTTAAATTCTTGTGAAGGTCCCATTTTACACGTGCGGGAACTGAGGTGCAAAGCAAGGTGCCCAAGGCTAGGGGCTACGAAGGGAATCCCTGAGGTCAGGAAGCCACAAGGCTGCCACAGAACCCACATCAGAGGTTGGTTGAGGAGGCATCTCTTCCTGCCCTATGTGGGGGTCCTGTCCCTCCACTGGGTCCATCGATATGGTCTCTGGGCTCCGTTCTACTGCAGGAGGGGAGCCGTGCTGCCTGGTTGCAGCTGGCATGGGAGCAGAGCCCTGAGTGTGGCCCAGGCCCCCTCCCCAGGTGTGTCCCCCCAACCTGGCCCTCTGCCCTTAGCCAGCCTGAGCCAGGCTGAGGAAGCTTAGGCCGGGCAGTGAGACACTCCATAAATGTCAGCTCTGCCAAGTCCATGGCCCTTTTGTGGCCCAGGCAGGCGTGCCAGGGACCCATGAGCGGTGGGAGGCAGGAGACACTGCCCCTCTGTGCTTTCCTGCTGCCTCGGCAGCCTCCAGGAGGAAGATGCACTTTCTCCTACAGCCTTCCTTCTAAAAATAGCCACCCCCGCCCCCAATGCGGGAAAGGTGGGAGGCAAGGTGCGGAAGTTGGCCTGGCAGCCTGCTTCAGTTTTAAACCTCAGGACCCCGTGGGCTCTCCCCTGGACTATAGCTCAGGAGAGGGGTGGGGCGGGCTTTCAGTCTTCTCCGTCCTCCTCCAGTCCTTCCTGTCGGTTCTGGAGCCAGGAAGGGAGAGGCTTGACCAGGATGGGGGACATGGGGGTAGTTTTGTGAAAGGGGACAGACATTTCGCAGGATGCCTTGCAGACACGTGGGATGTAGGGTGCAGGAGGCCGGCATGTGACTGGGCGATGACGCCATTTACTGAGATTTAATCCTCACCACATGGCTCCAGGGCGAGAATTATGACACCCATCTCAACGCCACTGCCCGGGACCCACACAGCCGAGCGCCCGAGCTCCGGCGGAGTCCCAGGGCACCCACAGCGCCCCGCCGGCGCGCCCAGTCCAGCAGGGCAGCTTTCGGGCGGAGGCGACCCCCGCCGCAGGTCCCACGACCCTGCGTGCCCTTGAGCCAGGGATGCGGAGTCCCGACCGCGGGGCACTGCTCCACCCCGCCGCCCTTCACCGCCCGCCGGGGCCCAGAACGCCCAGCCACGCCCAGAGCCCGCGGGCGCAGACGGCAGGGGCGGTGCCAGCCAGGCCCCGCCCCCGGCACGCGGCGACCTGGGGACGCCCCGCGGGAGTCGTCCTGCGACTTCCCCTGGCGTCGGCTGGGGCCACCGCCCGGGCTCCCACCTGAACCCTGAAATATGGGATTGGGGCAGAGTGGTCTGCTGCCCGCTGCCCGCAGCGCGCTTCGAGTTAGGGAGGGAGCCTGGGCCTCCGGGGCTCACGCTGCGCTTAACGCTGGTCGGGGCAGCAGTGAGGGTGGAAGCGGCCGCCTCTGGCTTCTACACCCCAGGTGTGACAGCCTGGCCTCTCAGCAAGCCCCCGGTCAGGCAAGCATCTGGTGGCGGGGGTCCTGCTCCCTGGCCTTCCCTACCTAGGAACCAGGTCCTCAGCCAAGGTGAACCCATTTGATCCCGACGACAATCCCATTTTCTGGAGGAGCAAACTGAGGCTCAGAAATTGAAGTGCTTCTCCAAGGTCGTGGGGAGCTGGGTTTGCCCTCTAGTCAGTGTCCCTGGCTAGGCCTCTTCCCTCCTAATGGCCCCTCACTCTGCCTTCTCCTGACCCCAGACCAACCCTGTGCCCAGGCTTCTTTGAGACAAGGCTGGGTTTTTCCAAAGGGATTTTACTGAGAAACTTTGGGAAAACCATGGACATAGCATGAAAGAAACATTGCAACCTCATGCTGAGAGCGGGCACAGGCTCAGGTGGCTGTGGGGAGCAGATGGGAGTTGAGGGGATGTCCAGGAGCAGTCCTCAGGCCCTGGGCACCACCAGCTTTTCAGGCACCTGTGTATTGAATGGAGCAACCCATAATGGGAGGTCCCAGGACCCCAACATGCCCTGTGAGCTGGGAGGTGGGAGGATCAGACCAGGAAGTCTCCAGTCCACCAGGGCCTGGCTCTATGGGAAGACCCAGTTCATAGAACCAGAGACCTAGGTTGCAGTCCTGGCCTCTCTGGGCAGCTGCGTGGCCGAGAGCAGGTCACTGAGCCCTGGGAAGCCAGCTACCTTGGACCCCGGCTGTCTCTGTTCAGTTGTACTTATTCCTTGTTACCCCTCATCTCTGCCTGTTGGAGACAGGTGGGGTGGGACAGGCCAGCAGGTGGGACAGGGCTGGGAGGACAGGCCTGTGGGCTGCTGGGCACCTCTCGGGCTTGAAGTGGGACTCTTAGCACCCCACTTCACAGAGGGAACTCAGGGCTCAGGGTAGTGACTCGAGTGGTTAATTGGTGGGCTTCCTGGAGGAGGTGCTGGCATCTTTGAGTCTAATTTGGCCCTCTGCAGATGGTACTGCAGCATCTCAGGCACCTTCTGGTCTGTTACGGGCTGCTTTTCCCCTATACAATTCGTATGTTGGGTGGGTGCAGTGGCTTATGCCTGTAATCTCAGCACTTTGGGAGGCCTAGGCTGGCCAATCACCTGAGGTCAGGAGTTCAAGACCAGCCTGGCCAACATGGTGAAACCCCATCTCTACTAAAAATACAAAAAATTAGCTGAGTGTGGTGGTGCGTGCCTGTAATCACAGCTACTCAGGAGGCTGAGGCAGGAGAATCGCTTGAACCCAGGAGGTGGAAGTTGCAGTGAGCTGAGATCGTGCCACTGCACTTCAGCCTGGGTGACAGAGAGAGACTCTGTCACACACACACACACAAAAAAAGTCCAATCTTAGAATGTGACCTTATTTGGAAAATTCCTTATAAAAACATGTGACGTGTAAAGAGGTAATAAGTTAAAGTTAAGTCATTAGGGTGGACCCCAACCCACATGAAGAGGAAATATGGATGCAGATACATAGAGGAAGACCCGGTGGAGAGCCAGGAAGAAGGGGGCTACCTACACAGCAAGAAGAGAGCCCCAGGAGAAACCAGCCCCACAGATTCCTTGATCGCGGGCCTCGGGCTTCCAGAACGGGGAGAGAATAAACGTCTGTTGTTGAGGCTCAGTCCCTGGTCTGTTGTGGCAGCCCTAGGATGCTGGGTACATGGGACCATCCCTGCCCTCAGCCCTAGGACGCTGGTGCACCAGCCTGTCTCTGCCCTCAGCCCTAGGACACTGCGTGCATGGGGCCATCCCTGCCCTCAGTTGTAGGACGCTGGTGCGCGGGGCCACCCCTGCCCTCAGCCAGAGGATGCTGGCGCAGGAGGCTATTTCTGCCCACCTCAGTACCCTGCGGCGGCCCCGTCGCACACCCTTGTGGCCCCAGCCCAGGCTGGGACAGGCCTGGATCTGTCCTCTTTGGATTTTCCCTGAATTGTTTCCTAGGACGCTCGCTGCGGAATCCCCCTATGCAGGGGTGAGGCTGCCTCTTCTGGGAAGTGTCGGCGGCCCTCCTCGCAGCAGTTGCCCGCCTGATCCCCCACCTCCACACCTTTGCCCCTGCCCAGGATGCCGTCCCTCCTCACTCCTGAGTGTGCCCTGTCTGTCCCTAGGACCCCGTCCCTTCCCCCAGCTCCTGAAGCCCTGAGGAACAGCCTGTGGCTCTCAACTGCTTCCTTCACTGTCACCATGAGCTTCCCTGACAGGCAGGGAGCGGGGGTCTTGGGATGAACTCGATGGACTGGCCCTGTGCTAGAGCCTCTGTCCTGGAGGGAGGGGTCCTTCTGGGCTCTGGCACTGTGGGCTGAGTGTCGCCCGAGGCCAGCGCCTGCTTCCGCTGGCCTCTGAGCAAAGGAGGGGCCGGTGGTGTTTCAGGTGGCAGGCAGTGTCCACCCCTGCTACCTCGAGCCCTGAGTGCCGAGCTCTACAGCCTTCCCCTCCCTTGTTCTCTGACCCTTGGACGGAGCCCTGAGCTGTCTGGAATGGAAAGCTGGAGTGACTGCCTCCGGAACGAAAAGGAAGTGGGAACTTCTCTGAAAGTGAAAGTATGGGGTCCTGGCAGAGGGTAGGGCTGTGGGTGGGGCCGGGTGGGCCTGGCAGGCACTGACCATGGCTGGGAAGTCCCAGCTGTTGGTCACTCGCTCGGGCCGCTCTGGAGGCCCGATGGCCAGGGCCCGGCTCTGAGGGCCCCACGGGCCAGCTTCTCAGGTGGCTGCGTTCTTCCTGGGCCAAGGCTGCGTGCCCAGCAGGTATGTTCTGGCCAAGTGGAGCAGGAGGGCACGGGGTGCTATGGGCAGGCGGGGGTGGCGACTCATGGGCTTGAGGACCATTTTGGCTCTGCATGTGGCCTTCCAGGCCAAGGGCCTTACTCAGAGCCCGGGCTGACCAGGCCAGAGGGCCAGCGCAAGTCACAGTGGACACAAACACACCGGATACACAGGCAGACACGCTGAGGCAGAAGCACAGACAGACAGACACAGAAGACACCAAGATGGGCATGCGGGCACAGACACAGACTCAGAAGCACTGGCAGACCCTCTGGGGACACTCCAGGGCAGAGTCACGCACATACAGGGAGACACTCTCAGGTCAACATACAGATGTGCAAAACCGATGCCCAGAAAAGTGTGCATATACCCGTGCGCTCACGTTTAGGCGTCAGATTCACTTGCCTGGTTTCCCTGGGAAAGTGCCGAGTACTAGCCATGGCTGGGGGCTGAGTCAGGCTCACTCCCTGCCTTGCGAGTCTCCTCGTCTCCAGGCTCTGTAACTGTCCCTCCGTCATGGCAGGTGTGCCCAGGGCTGGGATCAGGCCCAGAGCAGGAGGTGCCGAACATGGTATGGGCTCAGCTGGTCGGGGAAGGCTTCTCACGGGAGGAGCCATTTCTGCTGAGCCTTCAATGAGTTGACAGCTGAAGAAGAAGGGGCTGAGCTCACTGTAGGCAGAGTGCAAAGGTGTGGAGGAGAGGTGGGTGCTTCTGAGTGATCAGAGTGAGGGAATAAGTTGGAACTGAAGCCAGAGGGGTCATTAGGAGAGGCCTTGAATGCCAAGCTAAGGATGGAGCTGTGCTGCTTCTGAGGGCAGCGGTGGCCCAGGGGGCTTATGCTTTGTTGCTACTGTGAAGGGAAGTCTTTTAAGTGTCTCTTTCTAATAGGCTTTGCTGGGGTACAGGAAAGGTATTGCTTGTATTTACATAATCAATGCACAAAACTTACTAAACCCTTTTATTATCTCCAATAATTTTCAGTCTCAGATTTTCTAAGCCGATAATCATATCACCTATGAATAATGACAATTTAATCTGCTCCTTCCCAGTGTTTACATCTTTTATCTATTTTTCTTTCCTTATTGCCTTAACTTGTTCTTCCAGGCAAATGTTGAGGATTCAGAGTGGTGAGAACAAACATCCTTGTCATTTTCCTTATTTGCAGGGGCTGGAAGGAAAAGGAAAGCTTACAAGGAAAGCTTTCAAAACCCACTTTTACACGTGCCTGGGTTTATATCCTGATCATTGTCCCTCCCGCTGTGCTCTCAGGCGATAGATGATTGGCTATTTCTTTACCTCCTCTTTTTGCCTAATTAGCATTTTTGTGAGCCCTCTTTACTACTTGATTGGTCAGGTGTGAGCTAAGTTGCAAGCCCTGTATTTAAAGGTGGATGCAGTCACCTTCCCAGCTAGGCTTAGGGATTCTTAGTCGGACTAGGAAATCCAGTTAGTCCTGTCCCTCAGTCCCACCTCTCAACAGGAAAACCCAAGTGCTCTAACTGCTAGGCAAGATTCTTATGACTGATCCTAGGAGGCAGCATCGAGGGGGCCTGGAAAGGAGAGCAGCTCAGAGGCTGTGATCAGGTGAAGGTGGATTGCAGGCGTGGAAGTGAGAGGGGACAAGCCCCACACAGGGCTTCAGCCCAGGGCACAGTACAGGCAGTCACCTGCAGAGGCTCCTTTGGAGCGCTGAGGAGTGGAGCGATGGCCCAGTCCCAGCGTAGGTGGGGAGGCTGGGGGGTGGGTGAGCACTGCAGAGTGATCGGGAGGATGAGGAGCAGCTACGGGAAGGAAGGTCTAGGGGAAAGTGGGGAGTAGAAGCTGAGGCTGGGGGTTGGGAGGGTGGGGAAGTTCAGACTTGACTTCTCGGTCACAGCTAGGGTGGCCCAGGGTGGGAGGTCTCAGTGACTGTGTCTCTGGGTGGTTTCTTGCCCCTGCTGCTGGCCCCACAAAGGGGGTATTAGCCTGACCTGGGGAGAGTGGGACCCGGGGCTCAGGCCGGGCCTCAGTCTCCAGGGTCTTACAATCAGGGAGCGGCAGCATAGGAGCTGGGGCCCCCTGGACCCTCCAGGCACTGGGGACAGAGAGACACAGAGAGAACAGAGAGCCAGAGACAGTCCAGGGGGGTGTGGGGAGGCAGGCACAAGGAGAGGCCAGGCGAGAGCCTTGGGGGTGGAGGAGGGAGCTGAGAGGGGCCTTCAGGTCTCAGCCCAGCAGGCGCCAGCATGGCAGCAGGCAGGCCAGTCGGAGGAGGCAGGGTGACCCTGACACCGATGTTCCCCCTGCTTCCAGGCTGTGCTCTGGGGTGACAGGGGTAGATGGACAGAGGCTGCCAGGCCAGTGCAGGAGGGCCACCTTATCACAGGGACAATGCCGAGTGCCCACTGAGCGGATAAATGGTGACGGCAGGTGGTGCGAGGCATCTGAACCCCGAGGTCCTGAAACCCAGGTCAGATTTGGCGAACAAACAGGGTGCAAGAAAGGGAATGGTCGGAGGGGAAGCCGGAGGCTGGGCGTGCAGCTGGGAGGACAGAGAGGAGGCTGGGTGGGATGCAGGTTGTCCGTGAACCCCAGGGGAAGCTGGTGAGGTGTCATCAGCGAGACGTAGAGGTGGAGGAAGGAGGTTCCAGGATGGATGCCTGGCTGTGGGGCTCAGGCAGGAGGGAACCATGGAAGGGCTTAAAGCAGGGGAGTGACCTGGCTGGACTTTTGCTTTGGGAAGGTCAAGAATGGCTTGGGAAGCTGTTGGGAGCTGCAGGGTCAAATGAGGCATGGCTGGAGGCTGAGAGGCCATCTAGGGACCTTACTGGCCCTTCAGCGAAGTTCTGGTTTGGGACAAAAGCAGGCTGAGTGGCCCCCACGCCTCTGCCTATGTAACCTCCTAAGAGATTCACTCCCACAGCTGCCCCTCCTTACCTGGCCTTCCTCTAGGCTTCCTGGGAGAGGACCTCCACATCTGACCCCACTCTGGGACCTGCTGACACCTGGGGTCTCCTCGCTGGGAGGGGGGCTTCTGGGCAGCAGTTCTGATTCTCTGGAGGTGGAGACACGGCCGGTCCTGCCTCTGCTCCCAGCTCCAGGCAGGTTCCCCAGCCTGAGCTACGCGGCCAGGGGCAGACTCTGTCCCTCTGTGGGCCTCAGGTTCCTCGTCTGTGAAATGGGCAAATGACACCCCCTAACTTTGTTGTCACAGTAGCTGATCTGTGTCAGGCATCGAGGTGGGCACACAGTAGGTGCTTACTAAGTGTGAGCTCTCCCAAACAAGAAGGCGGGGCTTGGCTTGTCCTTGCCCCACATCCCGGCCTCCGTCCCCTTGACAGGGGTGGATGCGTCGTGTGCCATCACCCCTGTCCGGCTGGGCGCCAGCCCCCATGCCAAGCATGGAGGGGCACCAGGGAGAGGGGAATGGAGGCTGGGACAGATGGCGCCCTGAAGTGTGTGGGTCACGTCCGAATCAGGCAGCGTCCCTGAACCTTGGCGCTGGGGGAAGTAGCCAACCTGTGGCCAGGGCGGGGCTGAGAAGCCCCATCAATCACCTGGCTGCCTCTCCCACCCCGCCTCCATCCAGCTGCTCAGCCGTCTCCGTGTCTCTCCCACCCCGGCCTCCATCCAGCTGCTTAGCCGCCTCCGTGTCTCTCCCACCCCGGCCTCCATCCAGCTGCTTAGCCGCCTCCGTGTCTCTCCCACCCCGCCTCCATCCAGCTGCTTAGCCGCCTCCGTGTCTCTCCCACCCCGCCTCCATCCAGCTGCTTAGCCGCCTCCGTGTCTCTCCCACCCCGGCCTCCATCCAGCTGCTTAGCCGCCTCCGTGTCTCTCCCACCCCGGCCTCCATCCAGCTGCTTAGCCGCCTCCGTGTCTCTCCCACCCCGGCCTCCATCCAGCTGCTTAGCCGCCTCCGTGTCTCTCCCACCCCGGCCTCCATCCAACTGCTTAGCCGCCTCCGTGTCTCTCCCACCCTGGCCTCCATCCAGCTGCTTAGCTGCCTCCAGGAACCTCAAGGAAGGTAGGTGGGTAGGCCTCTGCTGGACCCAGCAGGCACCTTGCTGGAGGGCGAGGGTGGGTGGGGGTCTGGGCCCTGCCCACCTTGGTGTCATTCCACCCCAGCAAACTGGGGCCTGGGGAGGCACACTTCCTGCCTGATGTCACCCAAGGGTTGGGTGGTGGGTCAGGCGGGGGCTTTGGTCCTGGCACCTGGGTCGGGGGCCCTGGGGCTGGGCTAGGGGCAGGTTCAGCCCTTTTTTGGCCCCAGTTTCTCCCAGGGGAAAGTGAGGCTTTGCCAGCCTAATGCCCTCCCCAACCCATGGCCCAGCTTGTGTAATGGGGTGGGTGGGAGGCCCCCTCCTCTCTCCCAACCTAAAGCCAGGAAAGCAAAAGCTCCTAAGGCTGGAAGGGGGTGTGGGTGGAGCCTGGCAGGCCAGGGTGCTGAGGGCCCTGGGGGAGCAGGAGCAGCCACAGCTCAGCCACTCCCATGTCCCTGGGACACTCCCTCCATTCCCTGTGTTGGGGAGGGGCCAGAGCACACTACAGTGAAGAGGAGGAGGAGTGGGGGGAGGGGGAGAGGCAATGGGTGGGAAACAGTGTTGAGAACCCCCCAGTCCCTGGTTAAATATAGACCCGAGGCTCCTCCTGCTGCCGGCCCTGCGGCTGCACAGCCATGATAAGCAGCAGGGTGGCCTTGGCCACTGCCCTCAGGCCCCACACCACCTCAGCAGACTCTGCGACACCCGGGGAAGGGGTGGGCTCTCATGGGGGTCCCTGCCCTCCCCTTGGAGCCAAAGTAGTCAGGCCTTTTGGGCTGAAGTGGGGTGAGCTGAGGGACCTGGAGGGCAGTGAAGGAGCTGGTGGGGGATGGGGGGAGGGTTTTAGGCCTCAGGACCTAACATCTGGGAAGGCCTAGATGTGGCTGCTGGTCCTGCCCTCGCGTGTTATGAGCTGTGGTCTGGACTGGGCCCCAGAACCTGCATGTCAATGCCCTTCTCCAATTCTAATGGGAGGGTCTGGCCTGGCAGGCTAAGTGATGGTGGGCACCTGGGGAGACCCTCTTTGGGGGATGGTCTCAGGAAAGGCTCCTGATGGAAGCAGCTGTCTATATCTCCGTGCCCAGCTGCGGCCTGGCACACTGAGGGCTCTCGCCAAGAGAGTGGCCTGATGATGCTTCTTTTTGACAGCCTGAGGGCTGTCTCCTCTGGGGAGCCTTCCTTGACCAAGCCCCTGGGTGTGGCCAGGCCCCACAGGGCCACACCACGTTTCTGCATCTGCTCCTGTGGCCACTCCTTCTTGCCCTCAGCTCTCCTGCTGCCAAGATGCCATCGCCACAGACAGAGACTCCTGGGCTGGAGCTGCAAAGTCCCAAGGAGGCTGAGGAGTCGCAGACTCCAGCTCAGGGCTCCCGGCGAACAAGCAGCAGGAAAGAGCCCAATGCCCACTGCAAGGATGGCACAAGGCTGGGCCTGGGCACCTTGAGGCAGGCCTTCTCCCGGGCCAGCCAACGGGCTTTGACCCAGGTCTCCAAGGAGGATACAGGCCTGTTCCGGCGAAGCTCCTGCTCCCTGTTCCGGTCCTTCCGGCAAGCCCTGGATGAAGGCCCAGCTGCCGGCCATTTCCAGGCCACTCCTGAGGTGCCCTCGGGGGTCATGAATGGTGTCAGCCAGCAGGCATCCACTGGGGCAGCCTCTGAGGAACTGAAACCCGAGGCAGGTAAGGGCCTCAGAAACAACACTAAATATGAAAGGAAATGGGTGAGAGGTTGGGGCAGCTGAGCTGAGGCTTCTGGAAAGGCTCTCCTCCCTGGCTCCCCAAACCGCGGCCCCGGACACGTGCACTTATTTATTTATTTGAGACAGGGTCTCCACTCTGTCACCCAGGCTGGCATGCAGTGGTGCAATTACAGCTCACTGTGACCTTGACATCCTGGGCTGCAGTGATCCTCCCACCTCAGCTTCCTGAGTAGCTGGGACTACAGGTGTGAGCCACTGCACCCGGCTAAATTTTTTTTCCTTTTTTTTTTTCTTTTTTTTGAGACTGAGTCTCACTCTGTTGCCCAGGCCGGAGTGCAGTGATGCAATCTCGGCTCACTGCAAACTCCACCTCTCTGGTTCAAGTGATTCTTCTGCCTCAGGCCCCCAAGTCGCTAGGACTACAGGCGCCCACCACCACACCTGGCTAAATTTTTTTTTTTTTTTTGTATTTTTAGTAGAGACGGGGTTTCACTATATTGACCAGGCTGGTCTTGAGCTCCTGACCCCGTGATCTGCCCCCTTGGCCTCCCAAAGTGCTGGGATTACAGGCGGGAGCCACTGTGCCTGGCCTAATTTTTTAAATTAATTTTTATTTTTTGTAGAGATAAGGTCTTGCTATTTTGTCCAGGCTGGTCTCAAACTCCTGAGCTCACTCAATCCTCCTGCCTTGGCCTCCTGAAGTGCTGGGATTACAGGCGTGAGTCACCATGCCCAGCTGGACAATTGCACTTTAAATTCTTGCAATATCTCTGCAATGGGAGCTCCCGCATTGGGCAGATGAGAAAAGTGAGGCTCAGAGAGGTGGAGTGACTTGCCTGAAGTCTCACAGCATGGAGAATGGGACTCGAACCCAGATCTGCATGGCCGGCCCTAGATACCTAGCCTCTCCATGACCGGTCATAGCCTGGCTCCTGGCCAAACTAGGGCCATGCACATAGCTGATCACAGGGTTGCAGAGGGTGCAAGGCTCGCAGAGGTACCCGGAGGGAAGGTCAGGGGGATTGGCCAGAGGAGGATACACTGGGGTTGGGAAGAGGGGGACACGGTAGAGGTGGAGAGCTCCTGTTGGGTGGAGGCTGGTGGAGAGCCCGGAGCAGCAGGAATGTAAAGCTGGACAGGGCAGGAAACGCCCCGCCTGAGCTCCGACCCTATTAGACCTGCAGTCAGGACTGAGCATGAGGCTGTCAGGTCCGGCTCAGCTGGGAGTGGAAGGTGGGCGTGGGAGCCAGGCGGAAGGTAGGGGTTGACCCAAATTGCTCTGTTCAGCCAGGCTTGGGGCCCCAGGGTCTGCCTCTTCAAAGGTGACTCTAAGGAAGGGTTCCTGGCAGCTGGGGCCTGTTGTTCCTGGAGCAGGCCTTCAGCTGGGCTGGGGCATCTGGTAGAGGCCAGGCAATCCAGCCCGGATGGACTCAGTCGCGGCCTGCAGGTCTTCATCCAGGTCGGGGTCTTGGAGCCGTCTCTCTCACCGCCCCTCTTCTCGCCTGCCTGTGCAGAAGGCAAATCCGTGGCCGACCTCATTACTGAACGGCAACTGCTGGCGGCCTTCGAACAGCTTCTGCGCCTGGAGACACGGCTGGTGGCGGAGAAGGCCTCGCGCACCTTTGAGCAGGACCCCACGGCCTTCGCTCGGCGCGCCATGGACGTGTGCCTGCATTACGACGGGCTGGCAGCGGAGCTCAGCGCCATCGTGCGCGAAACGCTGGGCAGCGACGGCGTGGACGCGGCCGTGCTGGCCGAGCTGGCCCGCGTGGTGAACGCAGAGGAGGAGGCCCACCCCTCGCCCCCCGACGACGGCGACTTCCTGCGCACGCCGCGCCACTGGCGCCAGCACTGGGAGGAGGCCGTGCGGCGGAGCGCTCAGGAGCGCGTGCGGCGGCCGGGCGCGGGGTGGGCCTCTGCGGCGGCGGAGGGCGCCTCGGGTCTGGCCCAGCTTCTGGCAGAGCTGGGCGTATTGGTTCGCCGCGATCTGCAGAAGGTGCGGCAGGAGGTGCAGCCCGCTTATGCGGCGGCGGGCTTTCCGGCGTGGGAAGTCTATCTGCGCGCCTTCCACAGCGCGGTGGCCCAGCGCCTCCAGGAACTCGCGCGCGACGCCCGCGGCTGCGAGCAGCTCTATGTCCTGCTGGACTGGGCCGCCAACGTCTATGGCAGGTGAGCCTCGGCCAGGGCGCCAAGTGGCGAGGATGGCTGCCGCTTCCCCCGCAGGCCTTGGGGAGCCCGCTTTGAGGAGCACCAGGCCTTTCTTCTCTGTTCCCTCCCTGGGAGAGGGCTGAGAGCCGAGAGCTTCGACATGCTTTCCTCGGCGGGTTAGGCCGTGGGGCGCTCCCGCCCCAGGTTTTCTAGGGGTCACCCATACACAGTTCCAGAATTTGAAAAGTTTCCGCGGGGAGGTTCCCATGGGAGTAGGGCCTGTGCTGGTCCACCAAGTGCCTTTGGGCGCATCAGAAAAGGGCACATCTTGGCCAGGCACCGTGGCTCACGCCTTAATCCCAGCAGTTTGGGAGGCTGAGGGGGCTGATCACGTGTCAGGAGTTCGAAATCAGCCTGGCCAACACGGTGAAACCCCATCTCTACAAAAATACAAAAATTAGCCAGACATGGTGGCATGCACCTGTAATCTCAGCTATTCTGGAGGCTGAGGTAGGAGAATCACTTGAACTCGGGAGGCGGAGGTTGCAGTGAGCCGAGATCATGCTACTGCACTCCAGCCTGGGCGACAGAGCAAGACTCAGTCCCCCCAAAAAAAAAAAAGAAAGAAAGAAAAAAGAAAAGAAAAGCGAAAAGGGCACCCCGCTAGACCGGACTCAACCCCCGCGGGTTCGCAGCGCTTGGCGTGGGTTCACCCGTGCTATCCCCTTTGGACGGGCATCTGGGTTCAGGGTGCAGCCTGCGGGGAGCGGCCGCCTCTAGCTCTGTGCCTGGGATGAGGGTGGATTGCGTCCCCTGCGGAGCGGTTCCCAGCCCCACCGGCAGGAGCGCCCGCGGAGGTGAGGGGTGGGGTTGCCTGAAGTCCCGCACTCCTTAAATTTCTCCTTAAATTGTGTGGGGTCAGACCTATGTCCGCCCCGCTGTGGGCCTCCCTGCTGTGGATTGGAGGTTGACCGACCCCTGAGCTGTGTTTGAGGAGAAGGCGGAGTGCCATCTGGGTAGCCGCCCTTCAGCATTCTGCAGGAAAGCAGGAACCCAGCTGTCAGAGGCTTCCGGGGAGGGAGTGTGGCATGGCAGCCTGGAGGCGTGTGTGCGTGTGCGTGTGCGTGTGTGTGTGTGTGTACAGATGCCCAGGTTCGGGATTAGCGTTAGACTTTGAGCCTGGCCAGAAGAGGGGCAGCTGCTGCCGCATCAGAGCCGCGCCCGCCCTCAGCCCCCTGCCCTGCCTTCCAGTCCTGACTTCCTGGGCCCCCCGGGCCTGGCGCTGCCCGCCGAGCCCCTGCCCCCGCTCCTGGCGCCCGACGTGTGGGCCCGACTGGAGAGCGACTACACCAGCTTCCTGGAGGTCAGGCTGGGCGGGCCAGGCTGGAGGGGGCGGGCCCTGGGGGGATGTGCGGCGCCCAGGCTAGCCGCCGCCAGAGCTGGCGCTGGTTCATCCTGTGGCCCCTGGCGCGGGCTTGTGACCCCACAGGGCGGCCCTAATCCTGGACGGCGCGGGACGCAGTCCGGGAGGGTCTCACCGCGGCCCCATCCCTTCTCCCGCAGGCCAAGATCACAGGCTGCTTCGACAACATATTGCAGCTGGAGCAGAGTCACTGGGCGGCCGCCAAGGACCCCGAGGTGCTGCAGGGCCTTTACCAGGCGCCGCTCTCCATGGACGTCCACATGGTGCGGCCGGGAGCAGGGGCTGAGCAGGGGCGTGTGTTCAAGCCTCATGCACACGGTGGCGATACCCAGAACGAATTCCTATCCAGTCCCAACCAACCCTTCCGTTAGATGGGAGCCTGAGGCCCCACGTGGGGGGAAATCGGGGACCCCCGGCATGCCGACGGGCTGGGAGGCTGCAGGGTGGGGGTTTGCAGGAGTTGACTCTCGGATGGGCGGCTGAAAGCTGGAGGAGCCAAGACTGAGAGACACAGCGGGGCGGGCTGGAGGTGTGGCGGGGCTACCAGGGGAGCCGCGGCTTCAGGTCTTCGGCTGGGACGCACGCTCAGTGCAGGACTTCGCTCGCAGCTCGTGGCTGAGCACGTGAAGGCGGCCGGCGCCATCTCCGCGGAGCTGGAGGCCACCACCCTGCGAATCTGCACGCGGGCCCTCGGCCTCTTCGTGCCCAGGTGCGGACGCATCCTAAGTAGGGGAGCGACCCAGCCTGGTGTGCTCTGCAGGTGGGAGGGAGGAGTCTGCGTAGGGACCTGATTGGGAGGGTGGACCCAGGGTCATCGCGCAGCCAGGGAGGGTCCCCAAAGGCTCTGTGGATCCCGTCCTAGGTTTGAAAAGGCTTTTCTGGCGTCAGAGGCGGTGAGCGAGCCCCACCTGGGCGCCTACATCAACGCCTGCGAGGAGCTCAGGTAGGGCTCGCCCGCTCCTGCACAGGCGCAGCGTGGCCAGCAGGGGACGCGCGAGCGCCGGGAAACTGGATGGAAGGGAGTGCGCGCGCGTGGAGGGGGCAGCGGTGAGGAGTGTGTGTGTCTGTGTGTTGGTGGATCTGAGGAGTGTGTGTGCGTGTGTGCAGCAGAGTTGAGGGGTGTGTGTGTGCGTGATGGAGCTGAGGGTGCGTGTGTGTGTGCATGTGTGGAGAGCTGAGGGTGTGTGATGTGCGTGTTTGGCAGAGCTCAGGGGGGTGTGTGTGTGTGTCAGAGCTAAGAGGTGTGTGTGCATGTGCGTGCAGGGGTGGAACTGAGTGGTGTGTGTGTGTCAGAGCTGAGGGGCGTGTGCCGTGTGCGTGTGTGTGTGTGTGTCCATCTGAGCGGAGGCCCTGGGGGAGTGCGGGCGGCTCTTCAAGGCTGAGCAGAGGGCGAGGGGTTCCAGCGCCCTGCCTGCTGCCCTGGGTTTTTCCCTCCCTTCATCCCAGACTGCATTTCTTCCATTTTGGGACACCTCCTCCTCTGGGAAGCCTCCCTCAGCCTGCACCCTGGGCTGTGCTGGGGTGAGGTCTGGGTCTCTGTGACCGCAGAAGGCAGAGGCCCTCCCTGTAGGCTGCCGGTGGCTGTCGGCCTTCTGTGCCCTGAGCTCCAGGCCAGGCCTCAGCAGATGCAGCAGCGCGGAGGGCGGCCAGTGCCGGAGGCACAGACTGAGCCACCCCCGTCTGGGTTCATCCTTTTTCAACAGTTTGTAAATTGTAATGTCCCGAAGGACTTCTCATTTATCTGACTTCAGAGAGCAGCTGTGCCACCTGCTGGCTGTGTGCTCAGGGACAAGCCACCTCCCCTCTGTGGCTCTTTTGCCACCTGTCAAATAGGATCAGAGCACCTGCTCCCTGGGGCGGTGTGGGAACTCTGTGCCTTAGGGGACTCAGTTCCCATTGGCTCTTTGTGAGCATTCGTGAGTGCCAGGCACTTTGTGAATGCCTTCCCTGCCTGACGGGTCTCCTCCCAAGTGCAGTGCACCCACGCACAGGTGCAGAGCACAGGCCTGGAAAGGAGGTGCCGCTTGCCCATGGCCATGCAGCCAGGAAGTGGCGGAGCTGAGACTTGAACTTGGCCTGCCTATATCCAAAGCATGACCATGAGGCACGGCTTCTCCAACACTCTCTTGTCCTTAATCTGTGCCAGGCTTGTCCTTGGCCCTGGGACCCTGGGGTTTCAGCTCCAAGGAGCGTTCTCTGACCCTTGGTAGGCAACCTCTGACCAAACCCTTGATGGAACTCCAGCCTGCCCTACTGTGTCCCTGGCTGTGGGGACTAGGTGTAGCCTGGCCCTCAGTTTCCTCAACAGTGAAATAGGGACATTGTCACGTTCAGGGAGCAGTTATGAGGCTCAAGGTAGGGTGTGTTCCAGGCATGGCTGTGCCGCACTGTTTATTATCAAGAGGGGTGGGAGGTCTGTCCCAGAGCTGCCAGAGGGGAAAGGGTCACCCGCCCCTGACCCACTCCTCTGTGACTGGCTCCCTGGGCTTCTGTGCTGTCCCCCACTTGACTCTGCTTGCAGGCAGCTACACTGGGGAGCCCCACGGGCTGCCCTTCACATTGTAGTCTCAGTGAGTGGAGCTGTGTGCCTGGCCCTGTTCCCCAGCCTGGTCTCCCTTGCCCACTCATCGCTGGTCCTGGCCACTCCGCAGGACCAGTATTCTCTCTAGGTTCCCAGGAACTCAAGAGGAGCTGGAGAAGCCCCTGGTGGCGGCCACCTGCAGCTTCCAGAAGCACCTGCTTCAGGGCTTGCAGCGTGAGTTGCAGGTGACTATGACAGGCCCTCTCTCCCCACTTCCCATGCCCAGGAGGTACCCCCTTTTTCCTAGAGCCTGGAGGCCCAGGTCACAGCATTCATTTATTCCAGGGGCCAGCTCATGGGTGTGTGTAGGGTAGTGGGCAGGGGACCCAGGTGAGGTCCCAGCTGAGCAGGGGCGGCTGGGAGACACCTGCCTTGTCACTTCAGTCTCCAGCTCTTAGTGGTCACCCCCGAAGCCTGGGATGGTGGGTCCACGGATCCAGGCCCAGGGTCCTCATCCAGTCCCTCAAGGCTTCCCCGGGGCACACCCTGAGCAGATCTGACTGGATAAACTCAAACCCTGCCCCTGGATCATGGGGCCCGGGAGAGGCATTCTGGGAAAGGGCTCCTGATATAACCTGTGGCTAGGAGGGGGAATGGCACCCCAAACCCAGGAGGGAAGGGGTCAGGAGTGGCACACTGGGCTTCGAGGGAGGGGTTAGGTTGGGGGGAGTAGTGCACATTTGCAGACTCCCAGCCCCTCTTTCCCCAGCCGCTCTTCAGGGTTGTGTGCACCAGGGACTGGCTGACGCAGGACTGGCTGCGTCCCCTCATGGACAAGGTAGTGAGGTTCACCGGTCATCTCCAGCGTGTGGCCCAGCCACGGGCACAGGTACCACAAGGGGGAGGGCCCTGGCAGGGCTGTGTCCATGGTTGGGGCTGTTGACTCTGACCCTGACCCTGACCCTGGGTCGCCCAGGAGACTCTGCAGGAGGTGCACCGGTTCGTGGTCCGCGAGTACCTGGCACAGGCGCTGAAGCCACGGAAGCGGTTCTGGGCCATGGAGCGCATGCGTGGCTCCCAGAAGATGAGCCTGGATGCCCAGGCCATCAGCGACACCTTCCAGGGCCTGGTAGGGGTGACATCTGACTGCCCCTCGGTGCTCGCCTCTGTGTGGGGAGGGGTGGCAGTGACTAGGGCCATAGCGCCAGAAGGGCTTTTGGCGGGAGTGGTTCTCCTGACGCTGGATCAGGTGAAACAGGGACTGGGGCACCTGTGGGGCTGGGGGGTGGGGGGAACCAGGTGGGAGGGTGGCACTTTGCAGACATTTGCATACAGTTTGCAGGGCCTCAGGGAAGGGGCGAAGGTCACAGCCCCATCTCATGGTCAGGGTCTGTGGGAGGTGTTCCCCACCTCAGGCCAGAGCCCTCAGAGTGGAGGCACCAGCGCCCTGCATACCCCTTGTTTGCCCCCAGCAGCAGCACGCTCAGGCTGGCCTCAGTTTTCCTGTCCGAGCAGGATGGGATGGGAGGGGAGATGAATGCTGTGTGGTCCATGAGCCCTGGGTGCCCAGGCACGCTCCTGTTCTGTTTTGGGGGAGGCAGTCCCAGTACCGAGCTGAAGTGACTGCAGGAGGGCTGACGCTGCAGGAGGGCTGACGCCGCGGGAGGGCTGACCTTGCGCTGACCTGGTGCTCCTGCAGGAGTTGGAGCAAGGGTGGGGAGAGGGCTCCTGGGGCAGGTAGCAGTTCTGTCTCGCAGGGTTCCGAGGCCACATGGTTGGACCAAGCCATCCAGTGCGTGGCCGAGATCCTGGGCGAGACTTACAAAGACGACATCCAGCGGCACCTGGAGACTCTCATCCGGAGCTACCCCGACATTAGGTGCGTACCCTACCTGCTTCCGTTAACTTCCTACCAGAGCTTCGGGGCCAAGGGGCTGGTATTGGAGGGACCCCAGCCCGTACCTGACTGCCCAGGGGCCTGGAGACCAGAGGCAAGAGGTAGGCCTTGGATCCTCAGACCCTCAAGGCTGGAGGGGGTATGGAGAGCACCCCTTCCTTCTCCTAATCTGTTCTCGGCCATCCTCCATCAGCCCTACGGGGGGTGGCGCACCTCCAGTCCTGGAATCCAAGGGGGAAGGCGGGCCCCCACCCCTGGAGAGAAAGCCCTCTCTGAAAGCCAGGGGATTCTGAGATCGGGTCAGGAGGAAGGGCTTTGATCCCAGGTTGTGCTGGGGCGATGGTGAGTCATCCAAGCTTTTGGAAATCCCAGTTCAAATCTCTCCAATTCCATTCATTTGAAGATTCTGGGATGTGGAGCTCACAGAAAGTCCCTGGTTCATCCCCTTCCCTGGGCCACCCTGCCATGGGGTGGGGAAAGATTCCCTGACCCCAGCTGGCCTGTATTCCAGGCTGTGGCTCAGAGAGAGAGTGGCCCTCATGGCACCCTGGGGGTTCCCTCCAACTACTCCCCCACCCCATCGGCCCATCACCCGCAGCTGCATCACCCCCTCCCTCCCTCTCCCTCCACCCTGTCCCCGTGTCTCCCTCCCTCCCTCTCCACCCTGCCCCTGTGTCTCCCTCCCTCCCTCCCTCTCCACCACCTGACCCTGGTCTCCCTCCCTCCCTCCCCCTCTACCCTGTCCCGGTGTCTCCCTCCCTCCCTCTCCACCCTGCCCCTGTGTCTCCCTCCCTCCCTCCCTCCACCCTGCCCCTGTGTCTCCCTCCCTTCCTCCCTCTCCACCACCTGACCCTGGTCTCCCTCCCTCCCTCTCCACCCTGCCCCTGTGTCTCCCTCCCTCCCTCCCTCTCCACCCTGTCCCTGTGTCTCCCCCTCCCTCTCCACCCTGTCCCCCCACCACGTGTCTCCCTCCCTCTCCACCCTGTCCCCCCACCACGTGTCTCCCTCCCTCTCCACCCTGTCCCCCCACCACGTGTCTCCCTCCCTCTCCACCCTGTCCCCCCACCACGTGTCTCCCTCCCTCTCCACCCTGTCCCCCCACCACGTGTCTCCCTCCCTCTCCACCCTGCCCCCCACCCCGTGGCTCCCTCCCTCCCTCTCCACCCTGCCCCCCCACCCCGTGGCTCCCTCCCTCCCTCTCCACCCTGTCCTCGGGTCTCCCTCTGTGCCTCTGCGTGGGCTCTTCCCCACTCTGCACACCCCTCTCCTGTGCCCCTTCAAGCCCAGCTATGGTGGCCCCCCTCCCCTGCCGGCCCACGCTCTGCCCCCTCCCCCAGCACAGCTCTTCCTGGCCTCAGTCAATCTGACCTCCCTGACCGACTCCTGGAATGCAGAGTGACTCACGCTAACTCCCAAGCCCATGGGTTCCCCTCATCCTGGGGCTGGGGATGTTGCGGAGGTGTAAGCCTGCAGTGAGCGCCGGCGTGTCTCTGCAGGCGGGACCACATACTGGCCATTCTGGCGCTGCGCCGACTGGGCTGCCGGCGGAACCAGCATCTCTTGCAGCACACCCAAGACCTGCTGAGAGCTGAAGCTGGGGTGGTGGGTGCGGAGGCCCCCCGGGGCCATGTGCTCTTTGAGGAGATCAAGGTGCCCAGTGCCATGGCTGTGCGGATCACCTGTATCTAGTTCTCTCTGGCTCGAGAGGGGGCCGGCCGCCGGCAGGGGGCTGTGGTCAGTGGGGGTCAGCCAGGAGCCCAAGGAGTCACTCTGGGCCCTGCCCCCAACTCTGACACTGCAGTTAGGGAATTTTTGTCGTCAGCAGCCAAGCACAGCTGTCTGGCCAGAAGGAGCAGCCGTGCAGGAGGCATTTCAGGCATTGGTCGGGAGTGTTTTGGGGCCGCAGAGCTCTCAGTGCTGCCTGTCATGGGGAGCCTCCCGCCCGACTGTCCGGCTTCACCCTCCAGTCTGAAAGTGAAGAGCAGAGTATTTATTTAAAAAATAAATGTGAATTAAAATGGTGCCTCCCTAAGGAGTGGGCAGGGGATGGGAGGCCTGGGTCCCGGTGTGCTGAAGGGCCAGGCCGGAGGCTCTCTGGTGACACCATTTGGTGGGTGGCCCTCTGGTGCCCGTGGAACCCGTGGGAAGACTGAGGCAGGTCCAGAGCAGGGAGGGCCCATGCCTGTGGCTGCCCCCACCACGGCCCGGGTCCACTGGCCTTGTGCCCGCTCAGCCTCGTCTCAGCCAAGGCAGAGTCAGGGCTTCCTGGGGACAAAAAGGGGCCAAGACTGGTTCTGCAGCTTGAAGAATTTGGGTTAGATGTGGGAGGGACTTCCCAGCAGTGAAAGTTGTCAAGTTACTGCAGGGGGTGTGTCACCCATGGAGTGTGTGTCCGGGAGTGACTATGAGGTGTCAGCAATGGAGGCAAGCGTAAGGAGACTGCTGCAGCGTGCACCTGCATCCCCGCTTCTCTCTGCAAAGCTGCCGCTGAAACTTGAAGCCTTGAAGCCTTCGGGCTGGGTTGCTGGGAAACCCATTTGCATTGGCAGCCGGGCTTGCTGGGGAGGCTGAAAGTTGAGATGGGGAGATTTCTAGGGAGCAGCTGAGACAGGTGGTGACAGGTGCCCCTCCCAGCCCTCCACAGTGGGCCCCCATAGTGTCTCTGGGCCTGACCCCGACCCTGGAGGGAGTGGGGGGCAGGTGACCGCAGGTGGGCTAAGGTTCCAAGAGCTCCACGAATTTGGGTCGCCTGCGGACAGGGTAAGAGGTCTGAAAGCCTCTGGTGCCAGGCAGACAGGGGGCGTGTCTCTCCCTGTTCCCTCCAGGCCCCCTCCCTGCACTGTGGACAGTCAGGGGGCAGTTCCCCGGGCAGACCTGCCCCGGTTCCTATGCCAGGGCTGGGACCTGGAGCCTGAGTCTTGCTGGGGCTAGAGCCTGGGGGTTGAGTGCTCAGGGCTTGTCTGTCTCTTCTGGGAGCAAGTGCTGGGGCAGTACCCTCCTCCATGGAGGCCAGGAGCAGGGCAGGCTGGGGCAAGGGAATATCCAGACGTCCCCTGGCAGGGTAGGGCAGGTGGGGCAGGAATGAGGAAGTGGGAGGGTTGGGGTTCCCCATCTCCACGGTTGAGGTGGGGGCGGGTGTGTGATGCTAGTGCCGATAAGCGATTCCCGTCCCTGATGGGAGGACCGAGGCTGGCAGAGAACAGGGGTCGGCACTGCGTGGTGCTGCGGATCTTCCCAGCCAGGCACCAGAGGGCATGTCTTTTCCTAGGGGAGGGGTCCAAGAGATGGCAAGTGATTGACAGGTCGGCCTCTCCCCTGCTTGACCCCACCCCTGACCTGGTGGTGGCCATGAATGTCCCAGGCAGGGTGCATTAGAGGGGAGAAGGGAGGGCTTGGCCTGGTCTGGTCCTGGTCAGGTTCTCCCCAAGGAGCTCCTGCCACTCCCTTCCCCACGCTTCTGTCTCAGACTCCTCACTGAGGAGCTGGAGCCGGAGGGTCCTCGGGCTGGGCTGTGGGGTTGGGGAGGGGGTTCTGTCCTGGCTCTGCCACTTCCCACCTGTGAGAATGCAGGCAGGTTCCTTTATCTCACTATGCCTTGTATTTTTCCAGCTGTGAAATGGGGGTGCTGTCAGTGCCTCCTCAGCTGGGGAGGGTGAAGTCAGAGCCAGTCATAAGGCCAGGGCCCTGGCCTCCCTGTGACGCCATGTTCCTGGAGGCCCACCTATAGGAAGGCCCTGGGCACCCTGGGGTTGGGGTGGTGGGGTGCTGAGGCTGGAGCAAAACCTGAGTTGAGTGGAGGTCACTGCAGGGGGAGGCCCCAAGAGAGGCTGGGAAGAGGTGCTGACGGCTGAGCAGCTGATGGCAGAGGGAGGGGGCCAGCTTAGACCATGAGAGTTCCTAGGCCCGGATACAGGAAGTCAGAGTTTTCCTGGCAGGAACTGTGTGCACATGTGTACCTGTGTCTCCATTCCAGGAGGGTGTGTGTGCCATGTGTGCAGATCCTCGTGAGCCCAGTGGTGCCTGGGGCTGGGGGCTGCAGGCTGGAACTTCCCAGGCCAAGCCAGGCTGAGCTGGGGGTGGGATGGCAGCTCCTAGAGGACGCAGTCAGGGAAGCTGGGGGTAGAGGTGGGGCCGAGACCAGGGCATCCTGGGTGCCTCAGTCCTGGGGTCTGGCCACTGGCCTTTCTGCTCCAGGGGGTGGAGGCTGAGCCCACAAGACCTTGCAAAGAGCCTGGAGTGCTTCCTTGGCCATCTGTTGTCCAGGCCAAGCCTGCAGGGTGCGGACTGGCTCTCAGAGAGAGCCAGTTCTCATCGGCCAGGCCATCTGGCTGATAAGCAAGTGTGTGTGTGTCTGTGCACGTGCACCTATGTGCACCAGCCCCTGTCAGCACCCCCAGGATGGAGGCCCTTGCCCAGTCTCCTCACTCCTCTCAGAAAGCAAGACAGCCTGGAACCATCCTACTTGCCCCCAAGCTCAGCCCCAGGCCCTGCCTGCCGGCCCCTGGCCCCCAGCCTCTGCCGGCCACCTGTTCCCTGCTGCATGGCCCAGTTCTCCTCCCTCTTCAGGGCTAGCTGGGTTTCCCCCAGTTTCACCGTGGCCTGAGGCTTCTGCATGTCCTGGGGTTCCCTCTGGTCTCTGTCCCTGAGCTTGAGGTCCTTGAGACTGGGTCTGCTCTGTGAATCTTCTGGGGCCCCATCCCAGGCCCAACTCGGGGGGCAGAGAGAAGATACAGAGAACCCACATGCCCCAGGCCCGCATGCTCTGGTCTGCAGAGATGATCCACTCTGTGTGTGTGTGTGTGTGTGTATTTGTGTGTATGTATATGTATATATGTGTGTGTGTGTGTGTGTGTGTGTGTACGTGTGTGTGTGTGTGTGTGTGTGTGCTGTGTGCTGGTTCAGGGACAGCGTGTGTAGGGTAAGAGGAGACTGGAGAGCTGCCCCCACCCCAGCTCAGGCTGGGGCCCAGCAGCCCTCTGCGGCCATCTCTCCTCCTGGTCTTCATGTGTCTGGGCCTGTCCCCTGCTTGAGTGTGTCATGCGGGAGACACACGAGGCTGAGCCACGCAGGCCTGTGTTCCAGTCTCAGCTCTGCCCCTTCCAGCCGGGGGACCGATCCAGTCTTCTTGTTGGTAACATGGGAGGGAGTGCCCAGTAGGGAGCCAGTGAACCTGTCCACAGTGGTCCTGGCAAGAGGGCGTGCTGTGAGTGGCGGTCCGTGTGTCTCCTCCAGGCCTGCACAGCTCACCCCTTCCTTCCTCACCTGGTGACCCCAGCCCCTTCCTTCCTGGCTTCAGTACTCAGCAGGCCCCTGTACACGGTGGCAATATCCCCAGCGGCTGGAAGGTGACTGCAGGATCCCTCACCACTGCCCACATTGGGAGAGGAGGCTGCAGGGTCCCCAAGGCTACCCCCGTCCCCAATCAAATTTCCTTCCTTTGCCACCACAAAGAAGCCCCAGGGCCGCCGTCGGTGCACACAGCTCACAGGCCATCATGAGGCCCAGGGGGTGGCCAGGAGTGGCCTGCCTCATAACACTGCCCGTGCCCGCCCTTCCCTGTGGAAGACTGGTCAGTGAGCACCTGCCGGCCACTGTGCTGCAATAAGACGGCCACTGCAGAGGGCAGGGTCCACAGCACGCCAGGTCACAGGACCAGAGCTCGCTGGGAGCCACCCTATCTCAGCCTGGCCTCCCGGGACCCTGGTCTTGTGAAACACTTGGAGGGAACTGAAACTTGGACAAGTCACACACACCCCTCGGTCCATCCTCTCCTGGGCCCTGGGGGCCTGGGCCTCTCCAGGAACACCGTCCCTTCTGTCTGCACATACGCCCACCCATCTAGTAACAGCCTTAAAAATGTGCTAAAGGCTTAATAATGTTTTGGGTAACAATACATTCACGTAGGTCAAAATGTAAAAGATATGCAAAGGGTATAAGGTAAAAAGTCTCCTTCTTATCTCTAGTCTTCCTGCTCCCATTCCCAGCAGTAACCAAGGTTCCTTGCTGGACACTTGAGTTGTTAAAAACTGATTCTTGCCCAAGGAATTTATATGAACGGTGACATTCTGGGCATTGGTGGGGAAACTGTTTTTGCTGGAGGTGGTTGGGAGGATAGGGCAGTTGTTTCTCTTTTCTTTTCCTTTTTTTTTTTTTTTTTTTTTGAGATGAAGTCTCACTCTGTCACCCAGGCTGCAGTGCAGTGGCGTGATCTCAGCTCATTACAACCTCTGCCTCCCAGGTTCAAGTGATTCTGCTGCCTCAGCCTCCCAAGTAGCTGGGGTTATAGGCACCCACCACCTTGCCTGGCTAATTTTTTATTTTTAGTAGAGACAGGGTTTCACCATGTTGGTCAGGCTGGTCTCAACTCCTGACCTCAAATGATCCGCCCGCCTCGGCCTCCCAAAGTGCTGGGATCACAGGCGTGAGCCACTGCACCTGGCCTGGGCAGTCGTTCTTGATCCCTGTAAACATCAAATGAGGAACTCAAGGCTCTTAGATGGATAGAATCCTCAAATAATGGACTTAGGATCTTAGGGAAGACAAAGATCACCAGTAGAGGGTCGTGACTGCAAGTTGTCCAAGTTCTTGGCGTTTTGAACAAAGAATCGGACAAAATGCCCAGCAAAGCAAAGAAAGAATGAAGCAACAAAAGAACGAAAGCAGGGATTTACTGAAAATGAAAGTACACCCCACAGTGTGGGAGTGGACTGAGCAGTGGCTCAACAGTCCAAATACAGAATCTTGTTGAGTCCAAATATCCCCTAGAAGTTTCCTGTTGGCCACTTCATGCTCATCTCATGTAAATGAAGTGGTGGTCTGCAATCAGTCTGATTTGTTGCAGAAAGCAGCCAACCACAGGCTGAAGTGAAGTTACAAAAGTCACACTCCTGTGCAAACATCTGATTGGTTGTAAAAAGCAACCAATCAGAGGCTAGGGTGAGGCTGGCGCGGTGGCTCAAGCCTGTGATCCCAGCAGTTTGGGAGGCTGAGATGGGAGGATCACCTGAGATCAGGAGTTCAAGACCAGCCTGGCCAATATGGTGAAACCCCGTCTCTACTAAAAATACAAAAAAAAATTAGCTGGGCATGGTGGCGGGCACCTGTAATCTCAGCTATTCAGGAAACTGAGGCAGGAGAATCACTTGAACCCGGGGGCAGAGGTTGCAGTGAACGGAGATAGCACCATTGCACTCCAGCCTCCCTAGTAGGTGGGATTACAGGCGCCCACCACCATGCTCAGCTAATTTTTTGTATGCGTTTTCCTTTCAATATAGTTCTAGGAATTTGGCATGAAACAGCCTTAGGTTCCCTGCCTCCAGACCCTATTCTCCTGCTTCATCATGAGAAGCCCTGCCGTTTGTGGGGTGCCCAGTGTGTGCCGGACTCTGCTTGGTGGCGTGTGATGTTCCTGCTTTCTCTGGACTCAGGGCTAGCATTTCGAATCAGCTTCTGGACTCATATACCTCTCGGCTGGAATCCCAGCTCTGCACCTTCCTAGCTGTGTGTCCTTGTGTGAGTTACTCCACCTCTCTGGGTTCCGTCTCCCTGTGTAAACTTGGGAGCATTACACAAGAAAATGCAAGAGTTGGCTGGAGGAGGACCTGGCTCTCCGAGAGCATCCTCCTACCTGTGGCATTCATTGTTATTTACCTGCACTACCTCCTTTAAGCCATCCCTGCCAACCCTCTGAGTGTGCCAGCGCCATCTCCAGGAGGTCCCAAGGAAATGTCACTGTCCCAAGCAACGTGTGGAGAGACACAGCTGCAAGCAATGGAGTGCCAGGGCCCAGGTGGTCTCCACGCCTGAGCCCACAGAGGGACGCCCTCCTTCTCCAAAGTCTGGAAGTCAGAGCTCCTGACCGTCTGGCAAGAAGGGGGCTCCCAGAACCTGGGCTGGAGGCAGTCACAGGGCCTGCCTGTTTTTTGAGCAGCCTCTGTTACAGTAGACAGATGTGAGCAGGGCAGAAGAGCACCCAGGAATGTCATGCGACCATCAGGTGATAGGCAGTTGTTACACTGTCTCTCTAAAATAATAATTGGTCGAACCAGCACCAGGAAAAGGCAGTCTCCCAACATAGGTGTTTCTTCTACATAGAAGCACCAAAACGAGTGATCAGCAACTTCCCGGTGAGATCTCAGGAGTCAGGTGAGTGGGCTCAAGCATAAGCACTAAGAGGCAAAATGGCAGAGCTTAACTGGTATATGACCTTCCTCGGGGAAACCCTCGACAGTAAGGGAAGAGCGCCTCAGATGAGCACGTGCACCACTTCAGTACACACACCGCGCATGCGGCCCCTCCCAGGTGCTGGTAGGCCACGGCGGTGCATGTGGACAGCCCAGCCCAAGGGAAGAATCTGGAGAAGGAATGCAAGCTCCCCCTACCCTGGGAAGTGGGAGCATGTTAATGTATAAAACCCCATGTCAAAGGTCCCTTGAGTCACCTGCTTGGCCTTCCAGGTGTACTTTCCTTCCTTTCATTCCTGCCCTAAAACTTTTTTTTTTTTTTTTTTTTTCTGAGACAGAGTCTCACTCTGTCTCCCAGGCTGGAGTGCAGTGGCACAATCTCGGCTCACTGCAACCTCCGCCTCCTGGGTTCAAGCAATTCTCCTGCCTCAGCCTCCCAAGTAGCTGGGACCACATCTGACTAATTTTTTATTTTTAGTAGAGTCAGCGTTTCACCATGTTGGCCAGGCTGATTTCGAACTCCTGACCTCAGGCGATCTGCCCGCCTTGGCCTCCCAAAGTGCTGGGATTATAGGCATGAGCCACTGTACCTGGCCGTTTTTTTTGTTTTGTTTTGTTTTGTTTTTTGATAGGGTCTTGCTCTGTAGCCCAGCTGGAGTGCAGCTGCACGATCTGGGCTTACTGCAACCTCCACTTCCCGGGTTCAAGTGATCCTCTCACCTCAGCCTCCTGAGTAGCTGGGACCACAGGTGCCCACCACCATGCCGGCTAATTTTTGTATTATTATTTTTATTATTTGGCAGAGGCAGGGTTTTGCCATGTTGCTCAGGCTCCTTCTCTAAAGCTTTTAAATAAACTTTCACTTCTGCTTTGAAACTTGCCACGGTCTCTCACTTTGCCTTAGACCTCTCGGTTGAATTCTCTTTTCTGAGGAGGTAAGAACTGAGGTTGCTACAGACCCGTATGGATTTGCTGCTGCTAACATACTTTGGTGCTTCATGACTTGGATACAGTCCCTCCTGGTAACACCTCCCCTCCCCTCCTGTTCCCTCCCCTCCCCTTCCCTCCCCTTCCCTTCCCTTCCCTCCCCTCCCCTTCCCTCCCCTCTCCTCCCCAACTCCCTTCCCGGAAAAGCCCCATGAAGCAGCGCTGGGCTTCCCAAGAGAGCTCCTGCCACGTGATTGGCCTCGGTCATTGGGAGAACCCTGCATAGACCGTGGCTCTGCAGCTGTTTTCCTGGAACTCATGCCGACTCTGAGAAGGGCCCGTGTTCTATAGGAACCCCGGGCAGAAGGGACCAGAACTGAACTTGGGCATTTTGCATCACTACCAGAGAGCTGTGGTCAAAGACTGGAGTTTTAGGAGAGCTGAACTTGGGGAGGAGAGTGGCTGCTTGCAGCGGGCATAGGGAACTTCCTATGCCCATGAGTTCCACCAGGACCCACTCCTCCAGGGAGCCCTCCTACACCACACTATTTGGGAGGCCACTGGTGTTGGGGTTCTGCTGCCCCATAGGCCCTGCTTTCTCTCCCTTCGCCCTTCTTAAGCAAGGACAGTGGGCCCGGCTCATGGAATAGTTGCAGAAGCCATACCTCATCAGGCCTCAGTTTCTCCATCTGCCAAATACAGAAAGGAATCCTTGGCCTGGCTTCCTCCTAGGAGGAAGGGGAGGGGCTATCAACAAGTCAACAGTGTCCCGTGGGGCTGGGGTGGGGCACCGCCTGATGGTGCATGTCCGGGCTGCTGAGGGTCCTCATGCCGCCTCCTTTGCAGGAGGGGATATGCCGTGAGAGTGGCTCCTGGTCAGCTGTCCTGGCCATCCCACAGTCCCGGAGGAGGTCAGCAGACTTCAGCCAGGGTCTCATGAAGCTGCAGGTGACGCTGAGTGAGCCACTGCTCCTCTTGGGGAAGGCTGGGTGGCAGCAGGGATCCCAGCCTTAAGGCCTCAACCTCTGTGCCTGCTTCTTTGAGACTCAGTTTCCTCATCTGTCAACAGGGGACACAATGGCCCCACCCCATGCATTGAGTAGGGCATCCCCGGGGGAGCAAGAGGCCCCGAGAAGAGTTTCAGGGCTGGTGACAGCCTGAGAAGTGAAAGGGAGAAGCAGAGTGAGTGTTGGGGTCCTGGGAACCAGGGTTAGGGCAGAGGGAAGTGCAAGTCATCATGCAGAGGGAAGTGGTCCCGGGATGCTGGGGGAGGGGCTAGGTGACCCACTCTGAGGTCAGCAATGCTCTTGTGACCAAGGCTAGCAGCTGCAGCCATGCCTCTGGCCAGGCCCAGCCACCTATGGGCCCTCTGCCCCTCGTGATCACCCACCACCCTGGGCCCTGCTTCAGGTTGCTCTCCCTCCTGCCTGCCTTCAATGCCCTTTTCTTCTTCTTCTTCTTTTTTTTTTTTTTTGGAAATGGAGTTTCACTGTTGTTGCCCAGGTTGGAGTGCAATGGTGTGATCTTGGCTTACTGCAACCTCTGCATCCCAGGTTCAAGCGATGCTCCTGCCTCAGGCTCCCGAGTAGCTGGGATTACAGGCATGCGCCACCACACCCGGCTAATTTTGTATTTTTAGTATTTTGTATTTTTAGTAGAGACAGGATATCTCCATGTTGGTCAGGCTGGTCTTGAACTCCCAACCACAGGTGATCCACCTGCCTCAGCCTCCCAAAGTGCTGGGATTACAGGCGTGAGCCACCATGCCCGTCCCCAACTGCCCCTCTTCTAGAGAGCTTTCCTCTAGGTGCCTTCAAGAATGCAGAGAGAGGGCCAGTAATGCACCTGCCTGTGTTATTCTCTGGTCCGTGCTAACTCAGCCTTTCCTGCTGCCCTACAGGGCGCAGGTGGAGGTGCAATTAATGGACTAAATGAGGTAATGAAAAAGATTGAGAAAATTTTTTTTCAAGATGAAAAAGTGGAGGATAGTACCTCCCATTTCTGCATCTAAACTCCTTGGTCTGGAAGTCCTTTCTTGTGTCTGACTTAAATACATCAAGCTGAATTTCAGACGTTGAGCAACGCTGGAGGAGAAGCAAGATAACACTGTGCTTAGTGAAGGGGCTCCAGCTTCACCACTGGCTGGCACATGACTGGACCTCTCTGTGCCTCAGTCTCCTCATCTGTAGAAAGAGGAGAGTTAGTGCCCACTTCATTAGGTTGTCCGATGAAATCGGCTAATGTATACAAAACACTTAGAACAACGCCTGGCACTGGTGGAGATCAACAAACGTCAGCAGTCTACCCGAAAAAATTGAAAGCAGGAACATGAACAGATGTTTGCATACTCGTCTTCTTTTGTTTGTTTTTGTTTTGAGACAGGGTTTTACTCTGTTGCCCAGGCTGGAGTGCAGTGGTGCAATCATGGCTCACTGCAGCCTTAACCTGCCAGGCTCAGGTCGTTCTCCCACCTCAGCTTCCCATGTAACTGGGACTACAGGTGCACCCCACAACACTCGGCTAATTTTTTGTATTTTTGGTGGAGACAGGGTCTCACTATGTCGCCCAGGTTGGTCCTGAACTTCAGGGCTCAAGTGATCTACCTGCCCGGGCCTCCCAAAATGCTGGGATTACAGGCATGAGCCACCACACCTGGTCTACACCCATGTTTTATAGCAGCACTGTACGCAGCAGCCAAGAGATAGCAACAACCCAGTGTGCACAGAGAGATGAATGGATGCACAGTGTAGCCCATCCATACAATGGAATACGATTCAGCCTTAAAAAGGAAGGGAATTCTGACACCTGCTGCCACATGAATGCACCTTGAAGACATTATGCTGAGTGAAATAAACCAGACACAAAAGGACAAATGCTGTGTGACTCTATTTATTTGCAGTACTGAGAATAGTCAAGACCACAGAGACAAAAGGTAGAGTGGTGGTTGCCAGGGCCCGGGGGAGAGGGAGAGGGGTGTTAGTGCACAGTGGGTAGAGTTGCCGTTTTGCCAGGTGGAGATTTCTGCAGGTGGAGGGCGATGTTGGTTGCACAACCCTGTGAATATACTTAATGCCACTGAACTGTGCGCTTAAAAGATTATAAATTGCATTATGTATATTGTACCATAATAATTTTTAAAAAGTCAGCTGTCGTTGCTCTGGCAGAGGGAAGGGAGGGCGTCCCCTGTGTCCTGGCCTCTGAGGCCCTGGGTTGCGTGCGAGGAGCTGATGGTGGCTCCTGGCCAGGTGCTGGCACACTCGCCTTCTAGGCTAAATGGGGAGGTCACTGCCAGTCTGTTCCTGTCTGCTGCCCTCCCCGCCAGGCCGAGGCCCCCGCTCGCTGCCCCTGGCCTGTGCCCTGGGGAGCTGGGGAATGGGACAGCCGCTGGCCACGGGTCATAAACATCCCCACCCAGTATGCGATGCTGGCTTCTTGCTGGGGTGGAGCCCTAGGCTGGCCTTTGGCTCCTCTGGAAGAGGCTGGCCTCTTAGGAACTGTTTTCTGCATCTGCGAGAAGAGGGTAAGGACTGCTCCTGCCCCATGGGCCCCATTGGCTGTCATCCCTTGGCCCTCCATGCTGCCCCATTTTCAGAAGACTTTCTTTGTCTTGAGAACTTCACGCATGTGACCATTGACCCTCATGCCTGAGCTTAGAGAAGGGGAGTGACTGGTGCAGACAAAAGTCCAAGGCAGCAGCCTCATTTCCCAATCCCCGGCCGGTGCTCTGGGTGGGCCACTGCCGTCAGTGGGTGACAAGGGTGGCAGCCCCTCCTCAGCCCTGCAAAGCCTGTGCAGACCAGGGGCTGCCTCCAAGGGGACAGTAGGGCCTAAGGCCTGACAACGCCCTCCTGGCAGATACAGACTTCCAAGCAATTTCCCGATCTGCTTGGGGCTGGGAGGGGAGGTGGGGTGGGGTGGGGTGGGGGAACAGAGTCTGGCAGGAGAGTCTTGTGGGGATTGCACAATGAGGCCACAGCAGCCAGCCATGAAGGCAGCCACGGGCCAGGGCCCCTCAGGCGGTTTCCCCATCGCCCCTGTGTGGATGAATTCCATCTGTGCAGTGCCGATGGAAGGACCCTCCCAGCCCCAGGACACTGTGGCTCTGTGGACTCATCTGAAAAATGTCATCCCTGGAGCCCTAGGAGAGAAGGGGTGGGGTTGGCAGCCTTAACGCCCCATCCTGGCGGCCTCCTGCATCCGCTCCCCCACAGGTTCCCCAGAGACAGGATGGATGGCAATCCAAGTGCAAACCTGGCGCTTGGCCACCACCCTTGAAGAGGAAGTTCTCAGTTCCCAGGGCACCCTGAACCCACACCGCCCCCACTCCGCTGGCCCCCCTGGTCCTGGAAGACCTGTTGCTAGGCTGGAGAGGGAATAGCAGAGTGAGCAGGGGGCGGGGAAAGAGGCCAAACAAAAGAGGGGAGGAGCAGAGGCCCCAGTGAGGCAGGAGGGAAGCCCGTGCCCAGCGGGAAATTCCTAAATGACGGGGGCCTTTCCAGAGGGCAGAAATTCCTAGCGTGTGAAATAAGGAAGGAAGTTAATCTCCAGTGGGTTCCCTTCACAGCCCCCTTCCATCCTCCCCACATGCCCCACCTCCACATCTCCCAAGACAGACCCTGAGAGACAGTTTGCATGGGGAAACAGGCCTGGAAACGGAGGCCTGCGCGGAGTGGGCAAAGTCGGCTTGATGATTAAGACGAGGCCCTGGAGTCTGGGCTTTGGACCCCTCCCCTTCTGCCTGTTCCAGCAGCCTGTGGGTCCAGCCCTAGCCCTAGAGGAGAAAGGCTCCAGTGGGAGTCCCGTAGGCCTGGCTAGGAACCCCACTCCGCTACTTGAAGCGGTGCGACCCGGGTCAGCCACTTCACCTTTCCGCATTTACGCATTTCAAGCAAGGCTTGACGACGGGAGGGGCTCCAGGTCCTGTGCACAGCCGCGCGGCCAGCACTCTGGCCAGCCGTGTAGCCCCCTTCCCCTTAGGGGGCCTCCTCCGGGAAGCCCCCGTGCCCTGTGTCCTTGTGGCCGCGGTGATACCGGAACACTTTAGAGGGGCGGCTGGGGGAGTTGGAGTGGGAGTGGCGCTCCCGCAGCTGGAGCCAGTCTGTGACGCAGGAACGCGGCCAAGCGCGCCCCTTCCAGGCGGCCTATCAGGAGCCGTCGTCCGACAATGGCCCCGCGCCTGACAGCCCCGTCCTTCGGACTCCCGAACTCCACATACCATGCGACGTGCGGCCAGCCCCCCGCCCCTGCCCGGCTGCTGGGAGGAAGTGACCGCGCCCCGCATCCCCCGCTGGGCAGGCCGGGCGCGCCCAGCCCCCGGGACGCAGAGACACAGCCGGGCCGCACTGGGCATTGGCCTCCGCCCGCGGGTTTTCCGCGGTTGCGGGGGGCGGGGCAGGCGGGGCGGGGCACAGTCTGCGACTATTTCAGGCCTTGCGGAACTGGGGCCAGGACAGCGGCGGCCCGGCCAGGACACGGTAAGTGACCTCCGCCTCCACGCGTCCATTCCCCGCCGCTCCGCGCGGCTCCTCGCCCGCCCTGACCCCATGCCCCGCCGGATTCCCCTAGGGAACAGCCTGTCGCGGCGGCGGGGACAGGACCGGACTGGACGCCCCCACGGACCCTGGCCTGGGGCAGCCCCGCTGCCAGGGAAACTGAGGCCCTGGCGCCCAACGTCCGCGCGTCCGGGCGCACAGGCGCCAGGGCTGGCGCTCGCGGCGGAGGGCCGGGTCCTGCCAGAGGCAGGGAGGGCGGGGCTGGGGCAGTCACAGGGATCTCCCCTCCATTAGCAGCAGGAAGGCCCCAGGTCCGGCGTTACTCTCCGACCGGGCGACACAGGCCAAGTCACCTCCTCGCCTGTGCCCGGGTGTCCTCATCGGGGGATGGGTCCGCCTTCCACATCCTGCCCAGGACTGAAGGAGCCGGGCCCAGCGAGCTCCCGGGAGGCGCGTGGACATCAGGCGTGTGGCGGGGAAGGCGAGCCAGACCAGTGGGCCTGAGCAGAGGCAGGGCAGCGGGAGGCTGGGAGGCGCTGTTGAGCCACGGGCTGTGACCACACTACGAGCCTCGGAGCAGGGCCCTTCCTGCCTCAGTGGGCCCAACCAGCGGCAAGGCTTAAAGGAATGCCCCTCCTCCCCTTCCCTCCTGGCTGCACCCACTCGCTGCCGCCTGCAGGACAGACTCAGGACACAGGAGACTCACCCCCACTGAGGCCCAGATAGGCGCCCAGCCCTTGGCCGGGCGGTTTGGCCACATCCCCTCAGCAGCACTGTGAGGTGGGGGTCCTCATCCCCATTTCAAAGACGGGGAAACTGAGGCTTGTGAAGGAAGGAGGTGTGCAGTGCACGCACTAGTGAGAGGTGTGCTGAGCCTGCACCGAAACCGTTTCTATCCAAGGCACCAGCTGCCTCGGAGAGCGGAGACCTGGGATGAGGCCCAGAGGGCTGCAGCAGGACCTTCAGGTGCTCTGGGTTTTGTGTCACAGAGGGGAGAAGGTGGCGATGCTATGAGTGTCCTGCGGGAGCTGCGCCTGGAGGTGGGACAGAGTCTAGTACATGTGGAGTGGGACAGAGCCTAGTACATGTATGGTGGGACAGGGAAGGCTGAGGTGAGGCTGGCAGGGAGCATTGCTGGTAAGGGCCACCCTCCCCCACTCCAGGCGAATGGCAGAGGTGGGGCCTGGGCACCCAGGGTGGGGCTGAGCGGCCCTGCCAGACAGACCAGCTCCTGCAGGTGCTTGGCATGCACCTGAGAGGGGCTGGGAAGCGAGGTTGGGGCACTGGGTGGGGAGCAGAGGTGCCCCATGGCCTTGCCCCTGAGGCTCCCTGGAGCATGCCCCTCTTGGTCCTGGAGTGGAATGCGCAACCCAAATGGCATCAGGGAGGCCAGTGCCATCCAGGAGTGTGGGACTTTGCCCAGGGCATTGGGTGAGCATGGCAGGAGCTGGGGGTGGGAGGAGCCCGGGCTTCCTGTCCCTCAGGCGGCTCTGGCCAAGCCCCTCCAGGATGGGGACAGGGTAGTGGGGCTGGTGGAGGCAGCAGGGCCATGGGAAGAGTCTGATGGACCCAATCTGAGCCCCCATGGCTGCTGTGGTTGGGGCAAACACCTCCTACTCAGCCTCAGTTTCTCCTTCTGGATGGTGGGTCATCCTGCCTGCCTTGCCGGGCTGTTTCAGGGGTCACTTGAAGTTACCGTGATACATGAGACAAGGCTGCATGCATTTCATTTTGGGGTGGGTCAGACAGGTGGCGTCATGGTTACAGGTCACCCCAGTTCTCGGGGAGGCCCAGCCCCTGCCTGCTTCCCCCTTTCCGGTCAGTCATGGTCTTCTCCAGTGGACTTGGTCTTGCTTTGACAATGGTCAGGTGCTGGGAGGGGACTTGGGGGAGGCTCAGGTCTTGCCTCTCTGGATGTAGCTTGCAGGACAGCTGGGGATGTGGAGGCAGGGGGAGAGCTGGGCTCTGGGACCAGATGACCTGAGTTCCAAACCCAAGCTGTTCGCCATAGGGACAGTTTAAGCCAAAATAACACCCTTCCAGATGAGAGAAAGGAAGAGATGGGATGGGCACCCAGGAAGGCTGCAGAGACTGGAAGCTTTTGTGATGATGCTATCATCCCATATGGGAGCGGGCAGAGGGGGTGGGAGCCAGGAAGCCTGGGTTCTGGACCCTAGTTGCTGTGTGACTTCAGGCAGCCCTGTGACTTGCTGAGCCCCTTGCCCCCAGTGATGTGTGAAAGGCTCTCTGAGGTCCCACCCACTGTGGCTTCTGTAGACCCTAGTCAGGCTCTGCCCGCTTCGTGGCCCAGCTGGAGCAGCTGTGTTTCTGTGACCCCACCGCTGGATCAGAACTGGGCAAGATGGCAGAGGGGCTGGGTCTGGGCAGGGGGAGGCAGGTCTCAGGCCAACTTCTGGTGTTCTAGACCCCGGCATGTCCCTGACCTTTCTGGACCTCTGTTCCGCTCTGTCCAAAGGGACAGAGCACATTCCCCGCCTCTTCCCTAGGGTCCCGTGGGATCCAGGGAGGTGTTCACTCCCTGCTTCCTGCCTACAGAGTGGGCTGTCAGGGAAGGATTTGCCCAAATAAAGTGAAGGCCCCCCTCTGTGTGGCAGGCTTGGCGTCCTCGGCCTCTTCCCTGCTTCTGGGACTGTGAAGTATTGGAAGGGAAGCTGTGTGTGGTGAGATGCTCATGGCCAAGGAGGGAGTATGGTTGTTGGTGCTCATCTGGGCCAGGAGATGAGCAGAGCCCTGGTGGTCTAATGGGTGAAACAGACTGAGTGTACTCAGTGCAGCCAGCACAGCTGTGTGCTCCGGCCTGGGAGCCAGGGCCGGTCCATGGTGACCACTGATGCCTTCACCCCCACCCCACAGGAGCCTGCAGGCCTGAGCCAGGGTGATGCTGAAGATGATGACCTTCTTCCAAGGCCTCTCGGGACATCAGCCTGTGCAGGGCACCCTCGACTTCCCCAGAAGCCCCCAAAAGTTGCCGTCCACATCAGAGGCAGAGTCAGAGACCTCCATGTCAGTGGCCTCCTCTGAGGACCTGGTGCCGCCCCTGGAGGCTGGGACAGCCCTATACAGGGAGGAGGAAAAGACAGTGAAGAAGAAGAAGGAGAAGAAGAAGAAGTCCAAAGGCCTGGCCAATGTGTTCTGCGTCTTCACCAAAGGGAAGAAGAAGAAGGGTCAGCTCAGCTCAGCGGAGCCCGAGGGCACAGCCAGGTCCAGGCAGGGGCTGGATGGCCCGCCCCCAACAGGTGCGCTGGGACCCTGGGCTAGAGCTAGTCTGGGGCCTGGACGGGGTTGGCGCTCATCCGCGTGAGTGAGCCACTTGCACAGTGGGCCGGCAAATGGGGTTGGAAGGCGCATCTGTTTCTCTGCTTTCACCTGTGCCCCAATCTGCGGGGCTGGGAGGGGGGAGACCAGGCTTTCAGCCCAGTCTGGGACACCGACATCACCCTTTAGGGTGTTGGCCGCCGGCCCTGTGCGCGTCTAGGGGACGACGGCCCTGCTGGGCGCTGGCCGCCCCCCCCCCCCCCCCCGGTGACCGGCGGGCTGGGGCCGGGGCTGACGCGACTTTCCCGGCGCAGTGGAGGAGCTGAAGGCGGCGCTGGAGCGCGGGCAGCTGGAGGCGGCTCTGCCGCTGCTGGCGCTGGAGCGGGAGCTGGCGGCGGCGGCGGCGGCGGGCGGTGCGAGCGAGGAGGAGCTGGTGCGGCGCCAGAGCAAGGTGGAGGCGCTGTACGATCTGCTGCGCGACCAGGTGCTAGGCGTGCTGCGGCGGCCGCTGGAGGTGGCGCCAGAGCGGCTGCGCCAGGCGCTGGCCGTGGTGTCGGAGCAGGAGAGCGAGGACCGCCAGGCGGCGGCGGCGGCGGCGGCGGCAGCGGCGGCAGGGCCGGGGACCTCGGGACTGGCGGTCACGCGCCCGCGGCGCTGGCTGCAGCTGTGGCGTCGAGGTGTGGCAGAGGCGGCCGAGGAGCGCATGGGCCAGCGGCCGAACGCGGGCCCCGAGGTCCCCGAGAACGTCTTTTTGCACTTGGGCCGCACCATGAAAGAGGACCTGGAGGCCGTGGTGGAGCGACTGAAGCCGCTGTTCCCGGCCGAGTTCGGCGTCGTGGCGGCCTACGCCGAGAGCTACCACCAGCACTTCGCGGCCCACCTGGCCGCCGTGGCGCAGTTCGAGCTGTGCGAGCGCGACACCTACATGTTGCTGGTCTGGGTGCAGAACCTCTACCCCAAGTGAGTGGGCTCGGGGCTGGGCCCGGACCAGCAGGGAGGGTGTCCTCTGTAGGAGGGATGTCGAGGTGCCGCTGGCAGCTCTTAGTGAGGCTGGTGCTGACAGAGTTTTGAGTCGGAGAATGCAGGGGTGGGATTTGGACTCCCTGGGGCAGAGCCTGGACAGGCAGAGACTGGGCCTGGACACAGGGATAAGGCTGGGGCTGGGTCAGCTTTGGCAAAATCCTTAATTTCCTGGGCCTCAGTCACATTCTGCTGTTGGGGAAACTGAGGCACAGAAAATGGTAGGGATTTCATTCATTCACGAGCGCCCAGTCTGAGGAGGGGGCAAAGCAATCAATAACCATCCAGAGCCGGAAGGGCTGTGGCAGCAGAGGCCAGGCCCCGTGCAGAGCATGGGCCCAAAGCAGGCCTGGAGAAGTCAGGGAAGCCAGCCTGGAGGAGGTGAAAGCCAGCGGTCCTCTGAGCCGGGGAATCAGGCCAGGAGGCAGGAGGAGGGGTGATAGGGCACGCGGGGAAGAAGGTGAGAGGAGGGTCGGTGCTCCTGAGCATGTCCTCTTCCAGGGCACTCTGGAGCTGAGCAGAGCTTGTCAGAATGTTTGGATTTATTGGGCAGGCTATGCGGGCACCCCCAGGCAGCAGAGTTCAAGGGCCATGTGTCTTGTTAGACCCCCATTGTGTAGGGTTACCCTCTGAGCCCACGGCAGAGCTGGAGCCCCTCAGGTGGGAGGCTGGCTGTGCAGCTGGTACCCCTGCTGAGCACAGCCTCAGGCATCCCCTGACTCCATGGATCCCTGGGCATGCCCATCATTCACATGGTCTGCATAGGGAGCCATGGTCTGCATAGGGAGAGGCTTACTGCAATGTGGAAAGGCCCAGGGCAGGGGAGTCCAGGGGCTGTTATTGTGGGGCTTGGCCACTGCTGGCCCCAGATGCTAGTGTGAAACTTTAGGAAGGAAGCTCAGAGGTGTAGACAGTGTGGGCAGCGTCTGCCGTCTCGGGGGCCTTTGGGGGTCCTATGGGCTCAGTCACTGTTGAAGCGTCAGCCTCGGCACAAGGATAGAGAAAGGGTCCAGTGGGGAGGGTGGGAGAGGGGTCAGCAGGGCATAGGGGAACTGGCACAGGGCAGGGGCCGTGGGAGAGATAGCCCAGCCCAGAGCCAGTTCCCGCTTGCTCGTCCTGGCTCACCAGGAAATGCCAGGCACCTGCACCCATGCCTGCCAGTCTTCCTGTCCCAGTGACCTCGGGGTCTGCTGGCCTGGGGTTAGCAACAGGCAACTGAAGCCAAGCTGGGCATGGAGCCCTGGTGAGAGGGTGTCCAGGGGGGCATCGTTGAAGCCTGTGTGCCAGAAATGTGGGGAATGGAGGGACACAGCTGCATCTGGATTGGGTGAGGGGCAGAGAGGTCATTTGTAAGCCTCTAGGCAGACAAAGGCCCCTTAGGAAGTGCCGGGGCTGGGCAGTGCCCTGGGAGCTCTTAGGAAGTGCTGGGGCTGGGCAGTCCCCTGGGAGCTCTTAGGAAGTGCCAGGGCTGGGCAGTCCCCTGGGAGCTCTGGGGCGCTGCAGAGGCGCCAGGAGAATGAGCCGAGATGCATCTGGGGAGCAGTTTGGGGCAGCCCTTCCTGCCCATTCTGGCCTACTCCTGGGATTGGGAGGTGGCCGGGGCTGTCGAGATGCCCAAGACCTGCAGGGCTGGAGCGCAGCGGGCTGGGAGTTGGCTGGATTCCAGGGCTGCTGTGACTAGGAGCAGGGTTTTATCTGGGTGACAGGTAGCCTTGGAGCAGGAAGAAGATCAGATCTTAAAGGAGGCTCTGTCTGCTGGGTGGAGCAGGAATTGTTGGAGGTGAGGGAAAGAGCAGAGAGGCCGGGAGGAGGCTGTTGCAGTGAGCCAGCAGGAAGCTGGTGGGAGTCAGCCAGGGCGCCAGAGTGGCGTGAGGCTGACGATTTTGGGGGCTCTTTTGGAGCAGGACCTAATGGGGATGGGTGAGAGGGTCAGAGGAGGCACGATGACTTCAGGGTTTCTGTTCCAAACCCAACTAAGTAGATGGAGGACCCATCATCTGAAATGGGAACAGGGGTGGGCGTGCGGGAGGGTGTGCTGGGCAGTCTGGGCCTGCCAGAGACCGAGGCTGAGGGCCTGGGCTCTAGCTTGAGGGGTGGTGCTGATTGGGTATACCTGTCCTCATGTCAGCCTCCCCTGCCTGCAGTGACATCATCAATAGCCCCAAGCTGGCGGGTGAGCTGCAGGGTGTGGGGCTCGGGAGCCTCCTGCCCCCCAGACAGATCCGGCTGCTGGAGGCCACATTCCTGTCCAACGAGGCGGTGAGTCTCCACCTGGGCCAGGGAGAGGCAGGGAGGTGGCGCAGGAGAGGCTCAGAGACAGGCAGGATGTGGGCAGGGAGCTTGACGGGTCTTCCAGGTGAGCGAGGTGATGGATAGTGCCCCAGTGACCTGCCCTCCTCCCCCAGGCCAATGTGAGGGAGCTGATGGACCGAGCTCTGGACCTAGAGGCACAGCACTGGGCTGAGGATGTGCCTCCCCAGAGGCTGGACGGCCACTGCCACAGCGAGCTGGCCATCGACATCATCCAGGTACTGCGATCTGCCCCAGGGCACATGTACCGCCCGTGCACGTGCACGGGAAGCGCCATGCACATTCCGTCCTGTGTGCATACCCATGCCCACCTCGGGGCACCCCCTCTGTTCCAGCCTGTTTCCTCCCTATCCCCTGCCCCCTTGTCCAGGCAAGCCCCTGCTCAGCTCACCCAACACCACCCCGCAGATCATCTCCCAGGCCCAGGCCAAGGCCGAGAGCATCACGCTGGACTTGGGCTCACAGATAAAGCAGGTGCTGCTGGTGGAGCTGCCTGCATTCCTGAGGAGGTGGGTGTGTGCCCAGGATGGGGTCCCTGTAGCCACCTCTCTCAGAGCCATGGCCCCTCCCTAGTGCCTCAGGTGGGGAGCTGAGCTGGCTCCCCGCCCTCCACCCCCATCCCTGTCATTCTGAGCCAGGAGTTGTTTCCCACTCAGCCAGGGCACTGAGATCCTCAGGTGGTCTGACCTCCACCAGGATTCAGTGTGGGAACCTCCTGCGCCCACCCCATCAGCAAAGCTCTCAGCAGAGCAGCCTCTAGCTTCCAAGAAGATGCCTCCAGAGGGACTGAGACCCCGCCACCCCTTCACACAACAGTCCCAGTCTCCACCGCTCGAATTGTACCTGCTCTCTCCCTCTCAACCTCTGAGTGCTTCTCCAGCCAACCACACCCTCACTCGTACCTGGTCTGCCAGTTCTAGAGAGGGCCTGGGAGAAGGGCTGGGGGCAGCAGAGATGGGCTGGTACCCTCTTCAGGAGCCCTGGCCTTAGCTTGTGAAGCCAGTTCCATGATGCCCAGGGACTAGTGGCCCCTCCCTGGGCTATGGGCAGCCAGACAGAAAAGTGAACCCCGGGAGCTGGCCTGGAGGGCAGGGAGGCTGCTGCTGCCATCCCAGCGTTTGGGCTGGTCCTGAATGTGCCCCTTCTGGTTTCACCAGCTACCAGCGCGCCTTTAGTGAATTTCTGGAGAGAGGCAAGCAGCTGAGGAATTACAGGGCCAATGTCATTGCCAATATCAACAACTGCCTGTCCTTCCGGTGAGAGTGTTGGGAGGGGCTTGCGGGAGTGGGAGTCACTCGGCAGGCAGGAGAGGGGAGCTGGGAGGTGGAGGGAGGAGGAGCTGCTGAGGTCAAGAAGTGGAATTCAAACCAGCAACATGTGTGAGGACGCCAGGGCCTGCAGCACCAGCAGCAAACATTTCCCAGGTGCTGGCTGGGGCAAGCACACGGGCAGATGTTTCAGCCATTATTTTATCCTTAAAGCAACCCTGTGAAGTAGGTGTAGTGATCTGTCTATTGGGCAGATGGGCAAATCACTGGAGGAGACTAACTTGCCCTCGGTTACAAGGGGATGTGGTGGAGGAGTGTCCTGAGGGTGTGGAGAACATGGATGGGAGGACTTGATCCCACAGAGAATGGGGAGCCATTGAGGGTTCTAGAGTGAAGAGAGGGGGCTGCCTGGCTCCCTGGGTACGGAGCTATAGGCTGAGCAGGGCTGGGGTGACCTCTCTGCCTCCACCTTCCAGGATGTCCATGGAGCAGAAGTGGCAGGTACCCCAAGATACCCTGAGCCTCCTGCTGGGCCCCCTGGGTGAGCTCAAGAGCCACGGCTTTGACACCCTGCTCCAGAACCTGCGTGAGGACCTGAAGGTAGTGGGAACCTCTTGCCCTCAGGAACCCAGTGTTGGGGGGCCCAGGGAGGGACTGGGAAGTGCCCCTGGGGAGGAGTGGCAGAGGCAAAGATGTGGATACGACGCGCTCCAGGCCTGTGAACGGCACTGCGAGCCAGCTCTGGTGCAGCGGTAATGCCCGGTTGGGGACCCTGGCAGGCTCTGAACTCAGCCCATCATGCCCTGGGGCTTGGCCTGAGAGGGGCCACCTGGGGCTGGGAGGGCCTGGAAAAGTTTCACTGCCCTTCCCCAATTCAGACCCAGCCCAGTCCCAAGCCTGCAGACATTTTTCCTCCAATCCCCGCAGCCCCTCCTGTCTACCCCTTCCCCGCTCCTGACTCCCAGCGACTGAGGCTCAGGGTCATCGGCAGCCAGGGTCACATCTGTTGTGGGCCAAGAAATCCACAGAAAATGCTGTGAAAACAAGCATATTCTTTAGCAGGGTGTAAAGTGGGGGTCTCTTGAAAGGAAGGGGAGAGGTTCTCTGCCTGGTGTTAGGGGCTAGCGGCCATGAGTGGCCTGAGTGTGGTGGAAGCCCGAGCAGTGACCCCAGATCCCTTGGCACTGATCTCCCAGGCCCAGCCAAGCACAAGGTCTTGTTTATGAAGGAATTTATTTATTTAAGAGGCAGTGGACTTGGCCTCCGGGCCAGCAGATAGGCTCTCCTGGCTCCTGAGCCGCAGCTGGGTGACCTTGGAGAAGGGTGCACAGAGCCGGCTCCCACTTCCTGTCTGTGAGCAGGGATGTGAGGTTGGCCCGGGTTCCCTGGGAGTCCTTGAGCACCCCCCCTGCTCCGCCAGGCACAGGTGTTGGTGTGTGTCTGTGTCTGCGTGTCTGCGGCTGGCAGCCCTTCCTCTCCAGGGCGTGACCAGACATCCTGCCCCTCCTGTCTCAGCCGCTGTTCAAGAGGTTCACGCACACCCGCTGGGCGGCCCCCATGGAGACGCTGGAAAAAATCATCACCACCGTGGACGTCAGGCTGCCTGAGTTCTCAGAACTGCAGGACTGTTTCCGGGAGGTGAGGCGGCTCTGGGCTGGTGGCTGGGCCTCAGGGAATGGGGGCAGGCCGAACACGCACACTAGCATGTCTGTGTACACTCACTCACATGTGCTCACACACGTGAACACGTGTGTTTGAACACGCACATGTGAATGCACAAGCATATGAACACACACGTGAATGCACGAGCATGTGAACATACGCGCACATGTGAACACACACGCACGTGAACACGCACATGTGAACACACACATGTGAACACAAGAGCATGTGAACACATATTGAACACACGGGCACATGTGAACACTCACATTTGAATGCACGAGCATGCGAACACACATGTGAACACACACATGTGAACACACACATGTGGATGCATGAGCACGTGTGCAGTCTTTTGCTCTGGCATCTGCCTCTCCCTGGAGTCCTGGCTACAAGGCTTCAAGGGAGGTGGTGAGCTCCCCATCAGCAGACAGCTCACACGCCTCTGGCTGCTTGCCCTCCCAGGAGCTCATGGAGGCCGTGCACCTGCACCTGGTGAAGGAGTACATCATCCAGCTCAGCAAGCGGCGCCTCGTCCTCAAGACCGCTGAGCAGCAGCAGCAGCTGGCTGGGCACATCCTGGCCAATGCTGACACCATCCAGCACTTCTGCACCCAGCACGTAAGCCCCTGCCCACCTCTCCCAAGCTCCTCTGAAATGGCTGCCTCTTCTCCCCTAGCCCTTTCAGGGTCGGAGATAGGCCATTGGTGCCTCTCCAAGCCCAAGGAGTTGCTGACCCGAGCCTCTGGAGCCCTGGGTCCCTCCAACCACACCTACTCCTGCAGGGCTCCCCGGCGACCTGGCTGCAGCCTGCTCTCCCCACGCTGGCAGAGATCATTCGCCTGCAGGACCCCAGTGCCATCAAGATTGAGGTGGCCACTTACGCCACCTGCTACCCTGACTTCAGGTGAGAGCATGGGGCACCTCAGGACCCCTGTCACATCACTGCGGCCAGGGCCTCACAGGGCTGGCTTTGGAAACCCAGATCCTGGCAGCTGCCCACGTGCCAGTCACTGTGTGAACCTCACCAGGGCCTCACTCTTGTGGCCTTCACCACAGCACTACGAGGCCAATCCTTTTTCCGTTGCCATTTCACAGAGGAGGCCCGGAGAGCTCCCAGGATGCCTCCAAGGTGACATGGCTAGTTAGTGTCTGGCCATGCAGCCATGGCCCACACTATTAGCTTTGCCTGACGCTGCCTCTCAGAGGAGACTGAGACCAGAGAGGCCAGGTTCACCCAGTCTGGGGGGCCTCTGGGGCCTGGGCCCATGCGCTGGGACCAGGGCTCATATTGGGGAGTGGAGGCTTAGCCCCTGGCTGCCTGAGGCTCTGGTGGGCCAGGGACATTGTTTCTTTCTGGCTGGGTCCTCTGACATGTTAGGTAAGTTTGAGTGGCTTTTGACGGGGTTGACCCCAGCTTAGCCAAGTCCAGCCCCTGTCTGATCCATTCCACCCATCCATTCATTCACCCACCATACAAGCACCCATTTAACTCACCCACCCGTTCCTTCACCCATCTGGGTATCTGTCTATCTTCTCACCCATCCATCACCTGTCTACCCATCCACCCACCCACCCACCCACCCATGTATCCATCCATCTATTCATCCACCTACCCATATAAGCACCCATCCACCCATCTACTCATCCATCCATCCCTCCACGCATTTAGCTATCCATCCACTCAACCACCCATCCACCCACCCACCCACCCATCTATCCATCCATCTATTCATCCACCTACCCATATAAGCATCCATCCACCCATCTACTCATCCATCCATCCCTCCACGCATTTAGCTATCCATCCACTCAACCACCCACCCACCCACCCATCCACCCATGCATCTACTCCATGTGCCCATCCCTCCACCCATCTAGCTCTCATCCATCTGCTCATCCACCCACCATCCATCTACCTATGCCACCAACAATTATAGAGAAGTCAGCTAGGTGTCAGCCTCTGTTCTAGTTACCAGGATGCAATGAAGTAACAAGAGAAGCCAGGTCTCAATCCTTCCTTAAGTAGCTCACATTCTGTCGAAGGCCAGCAATAATAATGACATAATCAGGCAAAGAAAAGACAATTACAAGTTGTAAATAGGGTTTAACCAAGGTTCTGAATAATAGGAGGTGCTGACTTTAGAGAGACGAAACCCTCTTGGGGGTGGACATCTTAGCGGAGACCTAAGGGGTGGGAAGAGGTGGTCGTCTCAGGGCCTGGGAAGAGCATTGCAGGGGGAGCAGCCCGTGCAGACGCCTGACACAGGCTGGGGCATGGCTGCTCTTGGAACCATCAGGTGGAGTGCATGGGCGAGGCAGAGTGAAGTGCAGCCCCCTCGTGGGCTAGGCGTTGGCTGCGGGGCCCTGTGGCACTGGCCAGGAGTGCAGGGAGCTGGTGAACAGGGCTGTGGGTGACAGGCTGGGCTGATGGGATGCTCTCTTTGCCAGCAAAGGCCACCTGAGCGCCATCCTGGCCATCAAGGGGAACCTATCCAACAGTGAGGCCAAGAGCATCCGGAGCATCTTGGATGTCAGCACAGGGGCGCAGGAGCCCTCCAGGTCCCTATTTTCCCTTATAAAGGTTGGTTAGCTTTTTCTGTGGCCTGACCTGCTTGTGAGTGCCCAGCACACCCCACTGGGAGCTGTTAAGAGCAGCACTGGCTCTCGGCTCCTCCCGGGTCTCCTGTGCTCTGATGCTGCTTCTGCCTAGCCCTGGCGGAGGTGCAGACCCTGTCAGCTGGAACTGGACAGACCTTGGTTTGTTTACATGTCCGATGGGGGCAGGAGCTCCCATTACGGGCAGCCAACCAGGTAACACCAAGGACTCTTTGTAAACAATAGCTGATCGTGTACACGCAAGCAAAGAACCAGGAGGGAGAGTGTGCCAGGCTCAGGAATCCCCGGCCACCTCTGTCCAGGGCCCCTCCACCATCAGCCTCATGACTGTCCTCCTGGCGGGTGGGGACGAGGGCCCTCTCCGGCTCCCTGGAGACAGGGGCCGAGCCTCACCCGTCTGCCCTCTGCAGCCCAGGCCGCCGTGAGCTGGGTTCAGCAAGGCTGGAATGGAAGACAGAACTGGAAGAGAACAAAGGAAAAGATGAACTCTTATCTGGCAGGGGCCTGTGGGGTCTTGTGTTGTGGCCACTGCCAGCATTAGATGTCATGTCCAGATGGCCCCACGGCCCCTACTGGCTGACCCTGCAATGGGGCCCTGAGCCCTCCCTCTTCATCCCCCAAGGCCTCAACCAGAGGGTGGTCCCCCAAGACCTTGGTGTCCACTACAGAAGGGCCCAGGACCTCCTGGGTCATCTCAGGCTCCCGCTTCCCAGAGGCAAGGACAGGCCCTGGGGGTGTCTCTGTCGGCCCTGCTACCCAGAAGTCTGGCTGAGGTCTGGGCAGGGGCAGGGCAAGCTTGACCTCTCACCTCTGACCCTTTGGCCTCTGTATTTATTTCCTATTGCCGTGACAGGTTTCCACAAACTTTGTGGATCAAAACTTGGTCTTCCAGTTCTGCGGGTCAGAAGGCTGACCCGGGTCTAAAATCTGGGTGTCGGCAGGCCTGCGCTCCTGGAGGCTCTAGGGGAGAATTGATTTCTGGCCTTTTCATTTTTCGAGGCTATCCATACTTCTTGACTTCAGGCTCCTTCATCTTCAGAGCCAGCTGTGGGTGGTTGAATCTTTTTCCCATCACCTCATTGAGGCCTCCCCTCTCCTGCCTCCCTCTACCACTTTTTTTTTTTTTTGAGACAGGGTCTTGCTGTGTTGCCCAGGCTGGAGTGCAGTGGCCTGGTCATGGCATCAAGGCTCACTGTAGCCTGGACCTCTGAGTTCAAGTGATCCTCTTGTCTCAATCCCCTGAGACAATCCCCCACGCCCAGCTACATACTTTCTGTGGATACAGGATCTTATTCCGTTGCCTAGGATTGTCTGGAACTCCTGGGCTCAAGCCATCCTGTAGCCTTAACCTCCTAAAGTGCTGGGATCATAGGCAGGAGCCACTGCACCCGGCCTGCTCTGCCGCTTTTAAGGACGCTTGTGATCGCGTTGCGCCTACCCAGAGAACCCAGGTCATCTTTCTATTTTAAGGTTAGCTGATTAGCCACCTTAGTTCCATCTGCAACTTTAATTCCCACTGGCTGTGTAACCTAACATGGTCACGGGCTCTGGGGACTGTCACATGGACATCTTTGGGAGGCTGTTCCTCTGCCCACCGGAGCCTCCGTTCATCCCCTGCCCTGCAGAGCACCTGGCTGTACCCCAGGAAAATGTGAGCTCGTTTTCCTGCTCGGCCTGTGCTACCCCTAAGGCCCTGCTCCTCCCTGGGCCTGAAAGTTCCTTCTCAGCCCGACAGGGGGCCCTTCAGACTCAGGCTTGACTCAGCCCTGCTGATGCCTCTGCAGGGCTGAGGCTGGGTTTCCGTTGGGCTCTCTTGGCTCCGTCCCCTTTCCCCAGGTACTGGCTTACAAAGCTGTGGCCAGAAACTGGCCCGTATAGATGATGCCCAAGGTCTTTGTACATTTGTAGGAGTTCGTGTGTTTGATATTGTTAATATAATAATTATTTTTTATAGTACTGCTTTTGTATGTATGTTAAACAGGGTCCAGGTTTTTATAGCTTGATATAAAACAGAATTCAGAAGTGACTGTGGAGTGGTTTATTTTGGGAGCTGAACAATGATGGGGGGCCTGGCCGGGCAGCCTTAGCAGCTTCGCGAGCCTCTTGGGGTCTGGGCAAACCCTGTCTACCTAGGCTGTGTGTCAATCCCCAGCCTGTCCTGGCCCCCAGAGCAGCTCCTGTGGTCCAGGCTGTGTGTCAATCCCCAGCCTGTCCCGGCCCCCAGAGCAGCTCCTGTGGTCCAGGCTGTGTGTCATTCCCCAGCCTGTCCCGGCCCCCAGAGCAGCTCCTGTGGTCCAGGCTGTGTGTCAATCCTCAGCCTGTCCTGGCCCCCAGAGCAGCTCCTGTGATCCAGGCTGTGTGTCAATCCTCAGCCTGTCCTGGCCCCCAGAGCAGCTCCTGTGGTCCAGGCAGGAGAGGGCCCGCCAGCCCTCACTGTGAGCAGGAGCTTTAGAAGTGTCTGCCTGTAGGGCATGGCCAGTCACTTCGCCCTTCCGTGCCTCAGTTTCCTTATCTGTAAAAAGGGGACCATGACCCTTTGGAGTTTCCTTCACCGTCCTTTACTGAGGAAGAGGGTGGGGTGGACACGGGGCAGCCATTTCAACCCCATGCAAGGGACACAGTGGGACCTGACTCTCATGATTCTGGCATTGACCTGGAAGCTACGGCTGTGGACACAGTTCTGGTTTGTGTTCAGAGACGGCCGCAGCTGCCAGGGAAGGGTGGGCCTCTCTGCTGCCACCCTGGCCCGGAATCTGGGAAGGAGCAGAGTCCCTGGAAGGAAAGAAGGGCACCTTGATAAAGGTTGCACAGAGGCTGGGGAGGGCCCCGAGGGGAGCCCTGTGGGCCTGAAGAAGGGTGTGGGCTTCGGAAGGGCCTGGGACAGCAGGGAGCTAGGGTGGGAAGGGGAGGCCCTTTCCCTTGAGTTCCATTCTTGGGGCCAAAGCGGATGGCATGAGGCCACGGTACAGTGAGAGAAAAGGAGGGAGAGGAGGGTCAGGGCCAGTGCGGTTTGGCCCGGAGACCCTCTGCCCAGCTCCTGGACCAGCCGGTCCCTGTGGCTGCGAGGTCCTGGCCTTGCTGAGCCACGTGGGGAGCGTGGGCCTTGGGCGGGCGAGTTCCTGCTCCTCTCCTTGGAGCACAGGGTCGGAGGAAGTGGGGGCAGCGCGACCCTCCCCTGCATGGGCCCCCGACCCTGGGCGAGCGTGGGGAGAGACGGGGCCTGAGCCCCAGGGGAAGCTGTCAGCGGGCCCTGGCACACATTCTCCCACGGGGGCGGGCTTAGGTCCCAAAGCGACCCTCAGCCTCGCGGCGGCCAGGGCGGGCCGAGTCGTCGGAGCGCGGCGAGACCTGGGGCCAGGTGGGCGCCCCGGGCTGCGCCCACCCCTGGCAGAGGAGCGGGTTCAGGGCGTGAGGCCCCGGGCGGGGAGGAAGAGGGTGCGGGCGGCGCCCTGGAGGTTCCTGCTGTTCCTGCTTTTCGGGGTGGGGGCCCGCCGGGTCACTGTCCCGCCAGCGCTTGGATCTGCACCAGTAACTTCTCCAGGAAAATCCTCCGGAGAGGAGGATCTGTCCGGCGGCGAGGAGCGAGTCCACCAACGCGGGGACAGGGCGGCCGGAGCGGGGCCTGGGCCAGCGCCTGCTGCCTTTGTGCAAGGACGGACCCCGGGCCGCCCAGGTTCCTGTGAGCAGGGGTTGAGCCGGGAGGACGCAGCCCCAGCGGATCACCGGGCGCCCCTGGCCTCCAGCGGTGGGAAGCAGCCGGCCAGAGCCGGCTCCGGGACTGACGCTCCCTGCAGGAGCCAGGAGCAAGCAAACAAGCAGCTTGGGTGCAGGCGCGGGGGACGGGCCCGGGGTGCCTGCGGGTGAAGGGGCGGCTCGAAGGGTCAGTAGCTGGAGGCCCGGTCTTGAGGAGGTGCCTGGAGCAGACCCGGGCTGGGCGCTGCAGGGGAGGGAGGAGCTTGCGGAGGCGGCGGGCGGGAACGGGGAGGAATTCCAGGTTTTAGGCAAAGAAAGACGGCAGGGCTGGGGAAAAGGGATCGTGGACGGGAGACCCCGCAGGAGGAAGGAGGGGGCTGGTAAGCGGGCTCCTTCCAGCTATGGAGGGGGGTTGGAAGGGGCTGGAGACGTGATTTTCAACTCATGGGATTTATGGCTTGGAAAGACCCCTCTGCCCTTCAGGGGCGCTGGGCTCCCTAGGGGAGAGATGAGGGCGGCAGCAAGGGCCCCACTGTACAGTGAGACGGGGCGAGCTCTCGGTGGCTGAAGGAAAGAGCAGCCCGAGGGAGCCAGGCTGCGGTGGGGCTGCTTCCAGGAACAGGGAGGGCCTGGGAGGGGAGAAAGGGCTGAGGAGGCGCTTGGTCAAGTTAAGGGGGAGAGGTCTGTCCGCACTCCCAGCTGTGCGAGGTGTCACCAAGCTGTTGTTCCCAAAGTATTCTTTTTTATTTTTATTTGTTCCTTCTTTTCACAGGTGTTGACCCGAAGTATTTTCTGTCACGCCTGGCCACTCTGCCCTGGACCCTCAATCCCGCCGAATAGGACACATCTCCAGAACCCCAGCAGGAGCAAGCTGCAGGGCTGGCCTTCAAATCCTGCTTCAACAGGAGCCCCTGGAGGCCTGCTTCAGTGCAACCGGCCTAACCATGGCCTAACCACCAGGGCTCATCAAAGAGGCGGCCTGGATGCGTGGGACCTAAGCAAGATCAGTAAAGGGTTATCCCAATTTCAGACTCGCTCCCAGAAAGTCACTCTTGGGAGCTCTCTGTGGAATTGGGCCCCCTTCTTCTGGTAGTCTGTTTTCAAAACTGACAGGGGTATGAAAGAAAAACTTATCCCGGAAAGAAAATTGGGTTGAACATTTATCATCTCATTTAAGTCTTGCAATGATGGCTATATGTATTTTTGCTACATAAGTCTTCTATTAATTTTTTTTTTAAAGTTTCAGATGTCTGCAGAATGGGCATGTGGTTCGTTAGAGTGGCCAATACCCCAGTGAGTGACAACACTTTGTGTGTGAGGCCGTTGGCCGCCAGGCCATCTCACTCACTGCTTTGGGGGCATCATTTTGCACAGCCCCTGCAGAGTGTGATTTGGGCTCCTGGGTCAGGCTGACAAATGCAGGAACCTGTGAGGCAGCCATTCCCCTTCCAGGAATGTACCGTATCCATGTTCTACCAGCTACACAAAGCGACTTGAGTGCCAGACTAGTCACTTCAGTTACTGTAGCAAAATACTGGAAACTCCCTAAATGCCCATGGGCAGACACCAGGGAAATCACTGCAGCACGCCCAGACAATGGAGTACTATGTGGCAGTGAAAAAGAATAAGGACGTTCTCTCTGTTCTGATGTTGACATTCAGGACACATAATGTTAAGCAGAAAAAAGCACACTGCAGAGCAGAGTTTGTGGTGTGTGTGTGTGTGTGTGTGTGTGCGTGTGTGTGCGTGTGTGTGTGTGTGCGTGCGTGTGTGTGCGTGCGTGTGTGTGTGTGCGTGTGTGTGCGTGCGTGTGTGTGTGTGCGTGTGTGTGCGTGTGTGTGTGTGTGTGTGCGTGCGTGTGTGTGCGTGTGCGTGCGTGTGTGTGTGTGCGTGCGTGTGTGTGCGTGTGCGTGCGTGTGCGTGCGTGTGTGTGCGTGTGCGTGTGTGTGTGTGCGTGCGTGTGTGTGTGTGCGTGTGTGTGTGTGTGTGCGTGTGTGTGTGTGTGCGTGTGTGTGTGTGTGTGCGCGTGTGTGTGTGTGTGCGTGTGTGTGTGTGTGTGTGCGTGTGTGTGTGTGTGTGTGTGTGTGTGTGCGTGCGTGCCTGCGGGGAGACAGGGTTGGATGGGGACAGAGGTTAGGAAGGAGCTGTTTGGCCGTGTATCTGGTAACTTTTCATTATGAGCCATGTGAATGTGTTATACTATTAGCATTTTATAACTGAACATGTAACTGAGAAAATGAAAGTGGTGTTGCTGGAGGTCGGAGGAGAGGGGAGGAAGATACTTTAGTGTCCGGAGGTAGGCTCGACCAGCCACGGCCAGCGCCTCCTTGAAGTGGGTTCATCAGCAACTTGTGACTTGGCGTGAAGCCAAGTTCAGCGCCAAGGTGCAGGCTGTAGTAACAGGCCTGGGTTTAACCAAGACTCTGGTTTTGTCAGGTGATCACTCAGGAGGATGATAGCTGAGCTGTGGGAGGGGCTTGCCAGGGAGAAGTCATACTGATGGGCTGTGGGGTCTCACTTCAGGGAGGGTGGGGGGCATGCACGAGGGGCTGAGGGACTGCAAGGCAGCACAGGGTCAGAGGATGGGAGTTCTGGGGGCAGCCAGGGACTGCTAGGTACAGCCACTGGAATCAGTGAATGCAGGGACGGGGACTCTGGTCACAGAGGAGGACCCTTGTAATTGAGGTTGTGGAGGCGCTGCAGTTACCGGTGAGGACACAATTGGAGTGTGACCCTGAGACTGTGTGGCTGATATCGTCGGGAGCTGGGGGCTCAAGGAACTGGGAGGGGCCTGTGGATGCTCACGGAGTGGCGGAGGGGGCAGTGGGCAGGGACTGATGTCCACTGAGAGTGGACAGGAGAGGGCCAGAGGTAAGCAGAAGACCACAATGATGAGAAAAGCGGAGATGGCTGAGACGTGGCCTGCCCTGCAGTGTGCGTAGCCACTGCTCTTAAGGCCTCAGCCTCACCTGCTAGCGTCTGCCCCTGGCCTTAGGGAAGTGGACGGTCCCCAGATTTAGTGGCTGGATCAGGCTTGTGAGCTGCTGTGCCAGAGCCTCAGCTGGGAAGGTTGAGGCAGTGGTGACTCCAGGAGGAAAGGAGCCGCGGTGCCCTGATTCCCTGAGCCTTCCAGGTGGGTGATACAGCCACTGCCAGCAACGCTATTCAAAGGGGAAGGACGGGAGGCCATGCTAAAGTTCAGCCGCCTCATGTGGCCAGGCCCCTCTCTGCTCCAGGAGAGGCAACTGTGCCTCCAGACAAGCCCAGGTGGGTGGTACAGACACGCCCAGGTGGGTGGTACAGACAGACACGCCCAGGTGGGTGGTACAGACGGACACGCCCAGGTGGGTGGTACAGACGGACACACCCAGGTGGGTGGTAGAGACGGATGAGCCCAGGTGGGTGGTATGGATGGATGCACCCAGGTGGGTGGTACAGACATTGAACCTGCTTAAAGGACTGCCGTGAATCAGGAGGTCGCTCCTCTACAGACAGTCATTGTTGCTGCAGACTCACCCGGAGGGCCTGGGACAATGCGATGTCGGGAGGATGCAGGGACATTGTCAGCCAAGACCTCCATCCAGGACTCCATTCCCGCTGGGTGGGGGGCGCATTGGAGGATTGCTCCGGCTGCCCTGGAAGGCGGAACCCACAGCTTCTCTATCAGCTGCCCCTGGGTACACGGGTCTGGCAAGATCCCAGGGGAGGATCCTGGATGGTGGGAACTTTCAGGTTCAAGGGGGACCCCTGGAATAGTGGGTGTCCCATCTCCTAGGGCGCTAGCGTGGGTTGGGTCACATGGTGGTGGGAGAGGGCCGGCCGAGGGCACAAGTGCTTTTCGGGCTTCTGTTCATGTCACATTTGCTGATGTCCCATTGGTCAAAGCCAGTCATTCTACCAAGGTTCAAGGTTGGAGAAACTGGCTTCCTTGTGACGGGAGAAGCTGGAGTATAGTGTGACCCCCCACCCCTGCCCACTCACCACAGCTGCCCTCTGATGGCAATTATTTACATCCCCCCATGAAAAATATATTCACTTCCCTCCCAAACCCCCCAAAGTCTCCTCCCATTACGGACGATAGTTGCCGTTCACCATACTGTGACCTTCCATGGGACTGGATGTGAATGGAAAGGACACACTCAACACAGGGGACATGATGGGAACAGGACAGCCACTGCCAGCAATGCCATTCAAAGGGGAAGGATGAGAGGCCGTGTCAAAGTCCAGCCATCGCAGGTGGCCAGGCCCCTCCCTGCTCCAGGAGAGAGGCAACTGTGCCTCCGGATGAGCCCAGCTCTGCCCCCGGGGGTGCCCTCTAATCATCCGTCACTCTTGACAGCTCTTGGCTCCTCCACCTCTCCCCTGTGCTCCTGGCTCTGCCCTCTGAGAGGCCCTTTCTTTGCCATAACAAACAGTCCGTGTTTGGAGCCCAGCAACCTTCTCGGTCTTTGTGTCAGTCAGGGCCTAGTCAAGAGGTGGGAACCACACAGCAACTTGAACAGGGAATGTTTACTATAAGGAGTTACTGACTGTTACAGGGGGATTGGGGTTAACAAGGGACTGGCTACTGAGGAATAAAGAAAGCTCAAAATAAAGGAATGGGAGATCCCCTAGGTCGAGGCAGAGCTCCATGGAAGGAGCAGATCTGGAAGGGTGCCCATCCCCGAAGGGTGCCCATCCCCAGGATGGGGATGCAGGTCTTGGTGGAGAGGATGCAGCCTTGGCGACTTCAGCAGGTGCTCTGGAAAAACCTGCGGGAAAGAACCGGCTGAACCTGCTGGAAAGTCGCCTCCTGAGATGCCAGGTAAGCCATACACAGCCAGGTGCTGTGCCTCAAAACTTGCCGCAAAGCTACTTATGCAGAGCGCAGGAAGCCGTCCTGGGAGGCTGTGCAGGTGAGCAGCCAACGAACAAGTGAAAAGAAACCCCCCTCCCTCCTTGATTGTCTCTGCAGCTCCCTCTACTCACAGTGCACAGCACCGTGCCAGCAGAGGCCAGACGATTCCAGAATCCTCGAGCAGGGTAGCGAAAGATGGGCTTGGGTCAGAGGCAGTGGATTGATAGCAGGCAGTTGCTTTCCACATGCACCCTTTTACACACATTTAACCTTTTCTAAAAATCCCAGTAAATGCAATACCTGTGTCCTTCCCGCAAGTGAAGATGCATTCAGGCTGTCTCCAAAATGAGAAGACAGTGAGGACAAGGTGCCAATGGTTACTGTAGCCACTGCTGGCTCTGTTAATTACACCACAAATTCAACCACAGTCCACTGAATATCTTGTTACCTGAAAACAGAATGGTAACACTAACCTCCAAAAAAGTGTGTATACAATGCAGATGCCGGCTAGAGAAAACAGGAACATGGTTGGCATGTGCAAACAAACGCGTACAGAAAACAAGCAAAGAAAACTAAGCAAAGATACTACAGTCCTTGCTTCTGTGACAGTCGGGAGACTTGATGCCCACGGTTCCTTCTCCCATCACTCATCCTGGATTTTCCCCACCCTCAGCTGGGACCTCAGCTAGTTGATCTTTACTTGATGAAACAACCAAAACTTTCATTTCAGAAGGTTCTGAGTCCTCAATTTTCCTGCCTTTCCATGGCTGGGGTAGTTTTTCATGAACCTTTTCTATTGGCCATGGGAGTAGTCAGAAGTGCCGCAGAGAATGAATGCCCTGATTTCCAGACATAGGAGCAGCTGCCTGGTCTCCCAGGAGAACCAGAATCTATCACTGCAGTCAAGACAGCAATCATGTTTTAGGTCTTTGGGTGACATGACAGAATGAGCCCCAGATGGCCAGGTGGCAGCATCACCTTTCAATTTAAGGAAACCACTGCTGCGTCCCCTGGTTGAAGGATGTTCCTCTCTGGGACTAAGACCTTCACATTGGCAGAGCTCAAAGTTGCTGCGACAGGAAGCCAAAATCCCGCCAGTTGGTTGTTACTAGGTGTAATAGTGAGTGGATCCCCCTCACATCTGCTGGTTGCATGGAGTTCTAATCAGGGAAAAGGAGTCACGCTGGGGGGAACAGGAAAAGCAAAACAAACAAAAAACAGGTAAGCTGTAAGTCTGCCTTTCTACATGGCCCAGGACACACAGAGCCCTCCTATGCAAATAACTCACAATCTTCCTGTGCCCAGCTTATCACCAGACCCTCAGCTGACAGACAACTGTAAGTTAGCTAACTGCAACCTTGGCATTGTCCGTACTGCTCGGGGCCCTCTCCAGCACAAGCACTGTTCTATAAAATCCCCCACGAGTCTTTGTCTCCTTGCAGTCAGCTCCCCTCTGGCTGATCTGCCCATTGCTTTCTTGCAATGTATTTTCCTACATTCTCTAATAAGCCTGCCCGTCTTTACCTACAACTCTCTTGATAAATTCCTTTATTGCATGCGCCACTGGTCCTAGTTAGTCACTACCTGTGACAGCTTGGTTCCTGGAGCTATGCATTTTGGCCATAAGGGAAATAGAACCATGTGGTGGTCCCTGATTCATAGCATATATGGAATCCTGTAAAATAGAGTCCATCCTTCCTAGGTACTGCCACTCAGTCTTTTGCTGAGGCTAGCTCCTTCTGGGTGACAGAGTAATTGGTAAGACCAGTGGATTCCACGGCTACAAGCCACTGTGGCATTTCCTTGGCAGTGAAATGGGTTCCTTGGTCAGAAGCAGCCCTACGTGGAAGCCATGATGGTAGAAGGCATCACGTGAGGCTACGAGCAGCAGTGCTGCAGAAACACCCTGGGCGAGGGAGGCAAAGTGTGTCCCTTCCAGGAAGGTTAGTCCGTGTCCCCTCCATGATGGAAGAGACCAGGATCCACCTGCTACCAGATGCTGGCTGCTTTCTGTCGGGGAAGGTGCCACTGGGCACTCAGTGCCGCTCTCTGGGGCTGTGAGAGGGTTGCCAGCAGTGAGATTAGTCAGACCAGCCTGAAGAGACGAGCCTGTGTTGCTGGGCCCATGCATAGCCTCCATCTTGGTCACCATAAATACATTGTTTCTGGGTTCATGGAAAAAGCACTGGTGTGGCTAGGGAATTATGTCCCCCCAAATTCATCTTAGAGTCCTAACTCCCAGTACCGAGGAAGGTGGCCCTATTTGGAGCTAGAGTGTTCACAGAGGTAATCAGGTTACAATGAGGTCATTGGGTGGCTCTAATCCAATAGGACTGGTGTCCTAAAAAGGGGAAATTTGGAGACCGACACAGGGAGAACGCCGTGTGAGGATGGAGACAGACATCAGGGTGCTGCTCCTGTCAGAGGCGTTCCAACCAGAGTGACTCCATCTTGAATAGGGGCTGGGAAAAATGAGGCTGTGGGGCCTGCTGGGCTGCATTCCCAGGAAGTTAGGGATTGTTAGTCACAACAGTTTACAGTTGAGGGAGCAGATTAATAATGTTTACTAACAGACCCGGAGTGTCCTGATGTCCCAGTATCTTGAGAACGCAAGCATTCTTAGTTTAAGAAGTTTTGTTTTAAAGATAATAATATCGGGCTGGACATGGTGGCTCACGCCTGTAATACCAGCACTTTGGGAGGCCGAGGCGGGCGGATCACGAGGTCATGAGATCAAGACCATCCTGGCTAACACGGTGAAACCCCATCTCCACTAAAACTACAAAAAATTAGTCAGGCGCGGCGGCGGGCGCCTGTAGTCCCAGCTGCTGGGGAGGCTGAGACAGGAGAATAGCATGAACCTGGGAGGCAGAGCTTGCCGTGAGCCGAGATCATGCCACTGCACTCCAGCCTGGGTGACAGAGCAAGACTGCAACTCAAAAAAAAAAAAGATAATAATATCGATTATTGTGAAATATGGTAATTACAAAGACTAACCCTTTATCACAAACCCTTGTAGTAAAGCACTTCTCATGTGATTTTCCTGTCTTAAACAAGCATCGTGCTTAGGCTGGGCATGGTCCTCCTTTTACTTTAAGGAATGCCCTACTCTGTCTACGGAGTAGTCGTTCTTTTTTTTCTCTTAAAAAATATGTATATATATTTTGGGGGCTCTATTTTATAGGATACTATATATACACACACACACACATATATATATGTGTGTGTGTATATATATATGTCTTTTGTCTTATCAGTACCGTGCGTTAACTGATTGCGCCACTGGAGCCACTATATATGTCTTTTGTATATATGTTTGTGTTACAGGCCAAAAGAATGAGGGTCGTGATCAACTCGGTATACCACTGGAGGCTATATGAGTAAACAGCAAACTGTTTCTCATAAATGCAGAATGTTGGCAAACTGACAAACTGTGTCTGCCACCCAGAAGGGATGCTGAGGGCAGTCACGCCACAAACATAGTATTTCTTGTGATTAGGTACACCTGAAGCCTGTTAGTAATAATATGAACCTGTTATCAATTGAGCAGCCAACCAATCGTTACCTCCTCCTCCCTGTTCTTGCTACCCAATAAATACGAAGGGCTGCGGAAGCTCAGGGGCTGCCTTTGCTCACTAGAAGCTCTCTTATTCCTCCCCTGGACAGTTCCTTTAAAATAGTTTCTTTTGTCTTTTCATTTCTACGTTTGTCCCTTCCTTCAGTCTTGTAATGATGGTCTCAAGTAGTAACAGTAGTAACTGTTGTAGGGATGGTTTCAAGTAGTAACTATGGCAGTCAGCCACATATTTGTATATATATATTTACAGGATACAACTTATATATATACATATATATATATATTTTTTTAAGACACAGTCTCACTCTGTTGCTCAGGCTTGAGTGCAGTGGCGTGATCTTGGCTCACTGCAACCTTTGCCTCCCAGGTACAAGCAATTCTTGCCTCTGCCTCATGAGTAGCTGGGACTACAGGCACACACCACCACACCCTGCTAATTTTTGTACTTTTAGTAGAGATGGGATTTCACCACGTTGGCCAGGCTGGTCTTGAACTCCTGACCTCGGGTGATCTGTCTGCCTTGGTTTCCCAAAGTGCTGGGATTACAGGCGTGAGCCACCGGGCCTGGTCAAAAAACAAAAACAAAAACAAAACAAAACATAGATAGATAGATAGATAGATAGATAGATAGATAGATAGATAGATTAAAAAAACAGGCATGAGCCACTGGGCCTGGCCAAAAATATATATATATTTTATAGCGACAGGGTCTTACTATGTTGTCCAGGGTAGTCTCAAACTCCTGGGCTCAAGCAATCCTCCTGCCTTAGCCTCCCAACATGCTGGAATTACAGGCATGAGCCACCATGCCCACCCAGGAGTAGCTATTCTTTCATTCCTTTACTCTCTTAATAAATCTGCAGCCAGGTGTGGTGGCTCACACCTGTAATCCCAGCACTTTGGAAGGTCGAGGTGGGTAGATCACGTGAGTCCAGGAGTTTGAGACCAGCCTGGGCAACATGGTGAAACTTGTCTCTGTGAAAAATTAAAAAAAAATTAGCCAAGCGTGGTGGTGTGCACCTGTAGTCTCAGAGGAGGTGGGAGGATCACCTGAGCCTGGGAGGTGGAGGTTGCAGTGAGCTGAGATCACGCCACTGCACTCCAGTCTGGGTGACAGAGTGACAGAGTGAGACCCTATCTCAAAAGATAAAATAAATAAAATAATTTATTTTTTAAAAAAACTTGCTTTCACTTTGCACCTTGTAACTGACATATGTTTTATTAAAGCTTCTGGAGGACATGCTGTTTCTTATCAGATCCAATTAGTTTTACATCACCAATGCAGGGGGCCAGTATAGTGGTGTGTGGAATGTTAAATAATAAAGATCAGTTTGGCCGGGCGTGGTGGCTCACGACTGTAATCCCAGCATTTTGGGAGGCCAAGGCGGGCGGATCACCTGAGATCAGGAGTTTGAGAACAGCCTGGCCAACATGGTGAAACCCCGTCTCTACTAAAAATACAAAAATTAGCCAGGTGTGGTGGCCAAGCCTGTAATCCCAGCTACTCGGAAGGCTGAGACAGGAGGATCACTTGAACCCAGGAGGTGGAGGTCGTAGTGAGCCAAGATCCCGCCACTGCACTCCCGCTTGGGTGATAGAATGAGACTCTGTAAATAAACAAATAAAGATCAAGTCGTAGAGATGGAAAGTAGAATGGGGTTGCCGAGGGTTGGGGACAATGGGAATTTCTTGTATGATGGGTGCAGAGCTCTAGTTTTGCAAGGTGAAAGGAATTCTGAAGACGGGTGGTGGTGATGGTTGCATGACAATGTGAGTGTGCTGACTGCCACTGAAGTGTAGACCTAAAAATGGTTAAAATTGTGAGTTTTATGTTCTGTATGTTTCACCACTGAAGTGTAGACCTAAAAATGTTTAAAATTGCGAGTTTTATGTTCTGTATGTTTCACCACAATTTAATAAATAAATACAAAGTATAAAGGAAAAAAGGAACCGAAGCCTAGATTAAAACAAAGGATTTTCGTGCTATTTGACTACATTTTAGAAAGCAGTGTGTTAGGACCTTGATACTGTAAGAATGGTTAAGATATTAGCCACATGGGCACCGCCTGGAAAGGTTTTAGAAAGTCAGAATGCCCGCCTCAGCTGGGTGTGGTGGCTCAGGCTGTAATCTCAGCACCTTGTGAGACCAAGGCAGGCAGGTTGCTTAAGTCCAGGAGTTCGAGATCAGCCTGGGAAACAAAGTGAGAGCTCATCTCTACAAAAAATTAAAAAGTTAGCCAGGCATGGTGGTGTGTACCTGTAGTGGGAGGCTGAAATGGGAGGATCACTTGAGCCCAGGAAGTGAAGGCTGCAGTGAGCTGAGATGGTGCCACTGCGCTCTAGCCCGGGTGGCAGAGTGAGACCCTGTCTCAATCAATCAATCAATCAATCAATCAATCAAAAGAATGCCTTCCTCAGACCTACGACATCAAAGTTTGCAATTGTACCATCCCCAGGTGACTCATACAAATTCAATAGTTCTCTGAGCTTTTTCTGAAGTATAAGGTACAAACAATAAAGCTTACTTAAATACAAAAATAAAAGATAACAAAGCCCTTTCAGCTGGAACCGCCATTTTCCAAAAGTTCGCCAAAATGACGAACGCAAAGGGAAAAAGGAGAGGCACATTTTCCAGGCCTTTTGGAAAACGTGGAATTGTTCCTTTGGCCACGTATATGTGAATCTGTAAGAAAGGTGACACTGTAGACATCAAGGGAATGGGAACTGTTCAAAAAGGAAGCCCCACAAGTGTCACCATGGCAAAGCTGGAAGAGTCCACAGTGTTCCCCAGCATGCTGCTGGCATTGCTGTAGACAAACAAGTTAAGGGCAAGACTCCTGCCAAGGGAACTAATGTGCGTATTGAGCAGATTAAGCACTCTAAGAGCCGAGACAGCTTCCTGAAACGCGTGAGGAAAATGATCAGAAAAAGAAAGAAGCCACAGAGAAAGGTACCTGGGCCGGGCGAGGTGACTTGCTTGCGCCTGTAATCCCAGCACTTTGGGAGGCTGAGGTGGGTGGATCACCTGAGGTCAGGAGTTCGAGACCAGCCTGGCTAACATGGTGACACCCCGTCTCTACTAAAAATACAAAAAATTAGCTTGGCATGGTGGCACACACCTGTAATCCCAGCTACTCAGGAGGCTGAGGCAGGAGAATCACTTGAACCCAGGAGGTGGAGATTGCAGTGAGCTGAGATCATGCCATTGCATTCCAGCCTGGGCAACAAGAGGGAAACTCCATCTCAAAAAAAAAAAAAAAAAAAAAAAAAAAGAGAAAGGTACTGGGTTCAACTAAGCTCCAGGCTGCTCCACCCAGAGAAGCACACTTTGTGAGAACCAACAGGAAGGAGCCTGAGCTGCTGGAACCCATGCCCTATGAATTCATGGCATAATAGGTGTTAAAAAAAATAAAAGACCTCTGGCTGTAAAATAAAAAAATAAAATAAAAAATAAAAAACCAAAGGTATCTGTGGACTATATTATAGCAGAGGCCAGGATTCATGTAGTTAAGACATGAAGGTGTACTGTTGGCCCTGCCAGGTAAAAGCAAATTGTTTTTGCAAATTAGTATGGAAATAAGGCATTAGCTAGGCCGAGAGCTGCACACCAAGTGCCAGGGACCAGATGGATTTGCACCAGTAAAAGTGCTACATCTGGGACAGCAGCCGTGAGTGGAGTTGGCCACCTGATCACATTTATTACAGGTCAGTCATTCTCCAAGGTTTGTCCAGCATCTGCACAGGTTGAGCTGGTGGGTTTTATGGTATGGGAATGTGATAGCCACGTCTCTGCTTCTTTCAAGGCTTTAGTGGTGGTATTAATCTCTGCAATTACTTAGGGATGCAGTCAAGGCCAGGATGAGAGGGAAGCTAGTGAGGCACCAGGGCACAGCATGGAAGGATCTCAGGATGATGCCAGAGCTGAGCCTGCACTTACATTCTATGCCCAAGAGGTCTTACTGTTTTTTTTGTTGTTGTTGTTTGTTTTTGTTTTTTGAGACAGTCTCACTCTGTCGCCCAGGCTGGAGTGCAGTGATGCAATCATAGTTCACTGTAACTGTGAACTCCTGGGCTCAACAATCCTCCCTCCTCAATCTCCAGAGTAGCTAGGATTACAGGCCTGTGCCTCATTGCCCAGCTAATGAAAAAAATTATTGTAGAAATGCGGTCTTGCCATATGGCCCTGGCTGGTCTCAAACGCCTGGCCTCAAACAATCTTCCTGCTTCAGCCTCGCAAAGCACTGGGATTACAGGTATGAGCCACCATGCCAGGCCAATGTGTTACTCCTAAGGAGACCCTCACTCCAAGGCAGTGTAAGTGCAGTGTTGGAATCTGACACATGAATTCACCGTTGGTGGGACTGTAACCTAGCACAAACTTTACAGAAGGCATTTGATTGTTTATTTTAAAAAAATTAATTCTGGCTGGGCACGGTGGCTCATGCCTGTAATCCCAGCACTTTGGGAGGCCGAGGTGGGTGGATCACGAGGTCAGGAGTTTGACACTAGCCTGACCAACATGGTGAAACCCCGTCTCTACTAAAAATACAAAAATTAGCTGGGTGTGGTGGCGGGTGCCTGTAATCCCAGCTATTCAGGAGGCTGAGGCAGGAGAATTATTTGAATCCAGAGGCAGAGATTGCAGTGAGCCGAGATTGTGCCATTGCACTCTAGCCTGGGTGACAGGGTGAGACTCCATCTCAAAAAAAAAAAAAAATTAATTCCAAGGTTTCAAATTGTCACTTCTCACAAATTTGTTTCTTTCTGTGAATTTTAAATTCTTGATTTACATTTTTGCCAGAGTAGTACATCAACATAGTTTCAAAAATCAAATGACAGCTCTAGAACTTATATTACAATGTCCATCCTGCACCCCCTGCCACCACCACCTCAGGCCGCCCCTTTCACCTCTACCTGTGTCTCTGGTCCTTCTTGAGTTTTAGTTTTGAATGTTCTATATTGAGTTGTTACTATGTAGGTCTTGAACAATTCTTTTAAAACATATTAACAGGCCGGGTGCGGTGGCTCAAGCCTGTAATCCCAGCACTTTGGGAGGCCGAGGCGGGCGGATCACGAGGTCAGGAGATCGAGACCATCCTGGCTAACATGGTGAAACCCTGTCTCTACTAAAAAAAAAATACAAAAAACTAGCCAGGCGAGGTGGCAGGCGCCTGTAGTCCCAGCTATTCGGGAGGCTGAGGCAGGAGAATGGTGTAAACCCAGGAGGCGGAGCTTGCAGTGAGCTGAGATCCGGCCACTGCACTCCAGCCCGGGTGAGAGCGAGACTCCGTCTCAAAAAAAAAAAAAAAAAAAAACATATTAACAGAGCTTTTCATAGTTTTAGGCAATATCGTGAATCAGACCCTTTCTCCCTAAAAATTATCTAACTAGGTTCTCAGTGTAAAATGTAAACCTACTGAGTTTTTCATATTTATATTATAATCAGTGACCTTCCCAGATTGTGGCATTTGTTCTAAGAGACTTTTGGTTTAGTCTCTGATTTTCTGGGTGAACAATCCTGTCATTTGGGAGATTATACATTCATATACGCACTGTGTCACGTCTGCATAAGACACATGTACCCTGTCTAATGGCACATATAAGATGCATATAAACTGCTGGTATACAATCAATTGTTTGTTAGGGGTGTCAACAAATGACCTACCGAGGCACAACCTGAGGGAGGCAGGCAGGCGAAGATCAAATATAATCGTCATTCCTGAAAAAACCACTGTGAAGAATGTAGCTGCCATCTGCAGGCCACGGCTGCCCCATGTGAGCGCCACCAGCGACAGACAGATGCTTTGACCCAGACGTGGGCAGCAGAGCTTCCCCCAGGGAGACATAAGAAGGAGAAACACGGAATAAGTTTAACAAGTTAAAGCACAGAGAAATGGGCTTCATACCGTCACCCGTCTGCCAGTCAGATGAGTTCCCCTTCGCCTGGGATAGGGGTTGGAAAGGGAGAGAGAGATGAGGCCAGTCACGGCTCTGGAGGATCCTACACAGGGACAAAGCTTGCCGCCACCCTCTCTGCCTATGGCCTTCCCCTCCACATGGCATCTTGGAGCAATTCCTGTTTTTCTTTCTCTATCTCTTTTCTGTTTTTGAAAGCAGCTTACAGTACTCCATTGTTTGGGTGCCACGCGATGACTTCCCTGCTGTCTGCTCATGGGCATTCGGGGAGTTTCCAGTATTTTGCTACTACAATAGAAATGACTTAGCCCAGCACCGAAGTCACTTTGTGGGTTTTTCCTGCTTGTGTGTTTTGTGCTTTGTGGTTTTTTTATGAGTTGGAGTATTGCTCTGTCGCCCAGGCTGGAGTGCAATGGTGCGATCTCAGCTCACTGCAACCTCCGCCCTCTGGGTTCAAGCGATTTTCCTGCCTCAGCCTCTTGAGTAGCTGGGACTACAGGCGCATGCCACCACGCCCGGCTAATTTTTGTATTTTTAGTAGAGATGGGGTTTTACCATGTTGGCCAGGCTGGTCTCAAACTCTTGGCCTTAAGTGATCCGCCTGCCTTGGCCTCCCAAAGTGCTGGGATTACAGGCGTCAGCCACTGCACCTGGCCACTTTGCAAAGCTGTTAGAGAATGAATAAGATACATTTCTGGAAGGGGAATGGCTGACTCACAGGTTCCTGCATTTGTCAGCCTGACCCATGAGCCCAAATCACCCTCCGCAGGGACTGTGCAAAATTATGTTCCCAAAGCAGTGAGTGAGATGGCCTGGCGGCCGACAGCCTTGCCATTATAAATGTTAACTATTCAACTAAGATCAGATGGTACCTGGAGATGGGGGAACAGGGAAGGATGAGAGGGATGGGTCACCCAGGGGCATGGTGAATCCTTTGGTGGTGGTGGATATGCTCATTATGCTGATTGTTGTGATACTCTCACAAGTATATACACATATGCAAATTAATTAAACACATACTTTAAATATGTGCAGCTTATTGCATGTCAGTTATATCTCAATAAAGCTGTTTAAAAATCATAAAACATTAGTTTTTTGGTCCCCATCAGATTGTCAAAAAAAAATAAACAAACAAGGTAATTGCCTCTAGTCCTGACAACTTGTAAGGAAGCCAGCTCCCTATCCGTGAAAGAATGAATTGGCATATGTTTTTTGGAATTAATTTTTGAAGTCTTCATTTAAAAAGTGTTTCTGTTCTTTGTGGAAGAAAAATTATATTGCTCCTCCTTCAGCTGTTGTAACTAAGATCCTATTAATGCATTTCATTTTTGACTGGGTAAAACCGAATTCCATGGGTTTGCTTTTTGCTTCTCAGGCAACTAATGAATTTTCAGATCCTGTCCTTAAAAATGAAAATGTGCATCAGCGAAAAAAATCTAAGACAGGGTTAAAGATTTCTCCTTTCCCCTGAAATCGTGGAGGAGAGATATTCTAAATGATAAAGGCTGATCAAATGATTTGATGGATAAGGTGTGGAATTAAGACCATTTACAAGAGTATAAATCTTATTTTCCCGTGGGAAATTAGGACTTGTGTAAAATTAGTAACTGTTATCAACTTTCCAATTTCTCGATTACCATGAACTGTTATTGAAACAGAAGAGCTTTGTAATGTTTCTAAAGCTTTAGAATTTGAGGCCACGGTTTTTGAAAATAACTTCAAATAAAAACCTGGAATTCTGGCTGGGTGTCGTGGCTCACACCTGTAATCCCAGCACTTTGGGAGGCCGAGACGGGTGGATCACCTGAGGTGAGGAGTTTGAGAAACCCTGAACTCCTTTAGTAGAGAAACCCCATCTCTACTAAAAATACAAAATTAGCTGAGTGCTGGCAGGCGCCTGTAATCCCAGCTACTCGGGAGGCTGAGACAGGAGAATCACTTGAACCCAGAAGGCAGAGGCTGCAATGAGCCAAGATCATGCGATGGCACTCCAGCCTGGGCAAGACAGAACGAGACTCTGTCTCAAAACAAACAAACAAACAAAAAAACCCTGGGATTCTGCTTGGTTGTCTTGATAACCTGCTGCCTTAGTAGCCCTGTTATAATTACATTTCTGGATTCTTAAGCCATACAGGTCCCTGGGAGAGTCCTCAGACAAATGAGATGGTTTGCATCTCTGCTAAATTTTTTTTACCTTAGTAAAGAGATTTCTTATCCTAGGCTGGGTGCGGTGGCTCACGCCTGTAATCCCAGCACTTTGGGAGGCCGAGGTGGGTGGATCACCTGAGGCCAGGAGTTCGAGACCAGCCTGACCAACATGGAGAAATCACATCTCTACTAAAAATACAAAATTAGCCATGCATGGTGGTGCATGCCTGTAATTCCAGCAGGAAAATCGCTTGAACCCAGGAGGTTGTGGTGAGCTGAGATTGTGCCATTGCACTCCAGCCTAGGCAGCAAGAGCAAAACTCTGTCTCAAAAAAAAAAAAAAAAAAAAAAAGATTTCATATCTTAATAAAGAGATATTGAACAGGATCTTTGAGGTAATAATTCTACTTATAGGGAATGTATGTTATCAGAAATATTAGGACAAACCTGTCATTATTCATACAAGGATTCTCATTGTAGGGAAAACTAGAAACTCCCAAACTATCCAGCAAGAGGGAAAGGGGAAAACAATTATACTACACAATGCAGTGTGGCCATTCAAACAAGGAGGCAGATCTGTTTCCACTGATCTGGAAAAGTGTCCATGACATGACATTAGTGAAGAATGCAAATTTGTAGAA